AGACGGGTTGGGTCCGAGGGAGGCCGAGAGGCTTGGTCTGGCTGATCATGCTACTGATGCACTGGCCCAAATCTGGCTCCATTACCATCCCGGTATACTATCATATGGTCCCTGTGCCAAGCGGTAGGTTGGTAGCCCTGTTCCTCATGGAGCTGTGCGCGGGGACAGGTTGGGTCCGAGGGAGGCCGAGAGGCTTGGTCTGGCTGATCATGCTACTGATGCACTGGCCCAAATCTGGCTCCATTACCATCACAGTATACTATCATATGGTCCCTGTGCCAAGCGGTAGGTTGGTAACCCTGTTCCTCATGGAGCTGTGCGCGCAGACGGGTTGGGTCCGAGGGGGGCCGAGAGGCTTGGTCTGGCTGATGATGCTACTGATGCACTGGCCCAAATCTGGCTCCATTACCATCACAGTATACTATCATATGGTCCCTGTGCCAAGCGGTAGGTTGGTAACCCTGTTCCTCATGGAGCTGTGCGCGCAGACGGGTTGGGTCCGAGGGGGGCCGAGAGGCTTGGTCTGGCTGATGATGCTACTGATGCACTGGCCCAAATCTGCCTCCATTACCATCACAGTATACTATCATATGGTCCCTGTGCCAAGCAGTAGGTTGGTAGCCCTGTTCCTCATGGAGCTGTGCGCGCAGACGGGTTGGGTCCGAGGGGAGGCCAAGAGGCTTGGTCTGGCTGATGATGCTACTGATGCACTGGCCCAAATCTCGCTCCATTACCATCACGGTATACTATCATATGGTCCCTGTGCCAAGCGGTAGGTTGGTAGCCCTGTTCCTCATGGAGCTGTGCGCGGGGACAGGTTGGGTCCGAGGGAGGCCGAGAGGCTTGGTCTGGCTGATGATGCTACTGATGCACTGGCCCAAATCTGCCTCCATTACCATCACAGTATACTATCATATAGTCCCTGTGCCAAGCAGTAGGTCGGTAGCCCTGTTCCTCATGGAGCTGTGCGCGCAGACGGGTTGGGTCCGAGGGGGGCCAAGAGGCTTGGTCTGGCTGATGATGCTACTGATGCACTGGCCCAAATCTCGCTCCATTACCATCACGGTATACTATCATATGGTCCCTGTGCCAAGCGGTAGGTTGGTAGCCCTGTTCCTCACGGAGCTGTGCGCGGGGACTGGTTGGGTCCCAGGGAGGCCGAGAGGCTTGGTCTGGCTGATGATGCTACTGATGGACTGGCCCAAATCTGCCTCCATTACCATCACTGTAAACTATCATATGGTCCTTGTGCCAAGCAGTAGGTCGGTAGCCCTGTTCCTCATGGAGCTGTGCGCGCAGACGGGTTGGGTCCGAGGGGGGCCAAGAGGCTTGGTCTGGCTGATGATGCTACTGATGCACTGGCCCAAATCTCGCTCCATTACCATCACGGTATACTATCATATGGTCCCTGTGCCAAGCGGTAGGTTGGTAGCCCTGTTCCTCATGGAGCTGTGCGCGGGGACAGGTTGGGTCCGAGGGAGGCCGAGAGGCTTGGTCTGGCTGATCATGCTACTGATGCACTGGCCCAAATCTGGCTCCATTACCATCACAGTATACTATCATATGGTCCCTGTGCCAAGCGGTAGGTTGGTAACCCTGTTCCTCATGGAGCTGTGCGCGCAGACGGGTTGGGTCCGAGGGGGGCCGAGAGGCTTGGTCTGGCTGATGATGCTACTGATGCACTGGCCCAAATCTGGCTCCATTACCATCACAGTATACTATCATATGGTCCCTGTGCCAAGCGGTAGGTTGGTAACCCTGTTCCTCATGGAGCTGTGCGCGCAGACGGGTTGGGTCCGAGGGGGGCCGAGAGGCTTGGTCTGGCTGATGATGCTACTGATGCACTGGCCCAAATCTGCCTCCATTACCATCACAGTATACTATCATATGGTCCCTGTGCCAAGCAGTAGGTCGGTAGCCCTGTTCCTCATGGAGCTGTGCGCGCAGACGGGTTGGGTCCGAGGGGGGCCAAGAGGCTTGGTCTGGCTGATGATGCTACTGATGCACTGGCCCAAATCTGGCTCCATTATCATCATGGTATACTATCATATGGTCCCTGTGCCAAGCGGTAGGTTGGTAGCCCTGTTCCTCATGGAGCTGTGCGCGCAGACAGGTTGGGTCCGAGGGGGGCCGAGAGGCTTGGTCTGGCTGAGGATGCTACCAATGCACTGGCCCAAATCTGGCTCCATTACCATCACGGTATACTATCATATGGTCCCTGTGCCAAGCGGTAGGTTGGTAGCCCTGTTCCTCATGGAGCTGTGCGTGCAGACAAGTTGGGTCCGAGTGGGGCCGAGAGGCTTGGTCTGGCTGAGGATGCTACCAATGCACTGGCCCAAATCTGGCTCCATTACCATCACAGTATACTATCATATGGTCCCTGTGCCAAGCGGTAGGTTGGTAACCCTGTTCCTCATGGAGCTGTGCGCGCAGACGGGTTGGGTCCGAGGGGGGCCGAGAGGCTTGGTCTGGCTGATGATGCTACTGATGCACTGGCCCAAATCTGGCTCCATTACCATCACGGTATACTATCATATGGTCCCTGTGCCAAGCGGGTAGGTTGGTAGCCCTGTTCCTCATGGAGCTGTGCGTGCAGACAAGTTGGGTCCGAGGGGGGCCAAGAGGCTTGGGTCTGGCTGATGATGCTACTGATGCACTGGCCCAAATCTGGCTCCATTACCATCACGGTATACTATCATATGGTCCCTGTGCCAAGCGGTAGGTTGGTAGCCCTGTTCCTCATGGAGCTGTGCGTGCAGACAAGTTGGGTCCGAGTGGGGCCGAGAGGCTTGGTCTGGCTGATGATGCTACTGATGCACTGGCCCAAATCTGGCTCCATTATCATCACGGTATACTATCATATGGTCCCTGTGCCAAGCGGTAGGTCGGTAGCCCTGTTCCTCATGGAGCTGTGCGCGCAGACAGGTTGGGTCCGAGGGAGGCCGAGAGGCTTGGTCTGGCTGATGATGCTACTGATGCACTGGCCCAAATCTGCCTCCATTACCATCACAGTATACTATCATATAGTCCCTGTGCCAAGCAGTAGGTCGGTAGCCCTGTTCCTCGATGGCAGCTGTGCGCGCAGACGGGTTGGGTCCGAGGGGGGCCAAGAGGCTTGGTCTGGCTGATGATGCTACTGATGCACTGGCCCAAATCTCGCTCCATTACCATCACGGTATACTATCATATGGTCCCTGTGCCAAGCGGTAGGTTGGTAGCCCTGTTCCTCATGGAGCTGTGCGCGGGGACAGGTTGGGTCCGAGGGAGGCCGAGAGGCTTGGTCTGGCTGATGATGCTACTGATGCACTGGCCCAAATCTGCCTCCATTACCATCACAGTATACTATCATATGGTCCCTGTGCCAAGCAGTAGGTCGGTAGCCCTGTTCCTCATGGAGCTGTGCGCGCAGACGGGTTGGGTCCGAGGGGGGCCAAGAGGCTTGGTCTGGCTGATGATGCTACTGATGCACTGGCCCAAATCTCGCTCCATTACCATCACGGTATACTATCATATGGTCCCTGTGCCAAGCGGTAGGTTGGTAGCCCTGTTCCTCATGGAGCTGTGCGCGGGGACAGGTTGGGTCCGAGGGAGGCCGAGAGGCTTGGTCTGGCTGATGATGCTACTGATGCACTGGCCCAAATCTGCCTCCATTACCATCACAGTATACTATCATATAGTCCCTGTGCCAAGCAGTAGGTCGGTAGCCCTGTTCCTCATGGAGCTGTGCGCGCAGACGGGTTGGGTCCGAGGGGGGCCAAGAGGCTTGGTCTGGCTGATGATGCTACTGATGCACTGGCCCAAATCTGGCTCCATTACCATCACGGTATACTATCATATGGTCCCTGTGCCAAGCGGTAGGTTGGTAGCCCTGTTCCTCATGGAGCTGTGCGCGCAAACGTTTGGCAGGACCAGCTGCGCCCCCTCCACCCTGGCCTTCTCAGGAGTCGGCAAGGCTGTCCCCTCTTCCAGCGGCACCACGAGGTCTGGGAGCAAAAGTGAGTCCTTAGAGGCCTCAACCAGCCTGAGAATGGAATCTCTCACTGTCTCTCTCCCTCCCTCTCTCTCCGAGAGCAAAGCGGTACACCGGGAGACCTCTCCCTCCTCAGGCTGCGGAAACAAACATTTCCGTGCCAGCCGTGTGACCCGAAAACAAAAAAAATTTCAAGCTGGAGAACCAGGGAGTCGAACCCTGCGCCTCTCGCACACGAGGTGCTAAGCGAGCGCTCTACCGATGAGCTAGATCCCCGACACGAGGTCTCATGCAGCTGTACACCGCCATACCATTCCACGTCTCACTCCTAATGCAATATCTTGCGCACGCACCCTGCACCACGAAGGAAGCGACGCGGCAACGTCGATGAAGCTCGACAGCTTGTCTGCGAAAAGCTCGGCCGCGTGCAACTGGAGCGTGGGCAGGTTGGCCGTGTCGATCAACACCGCAAAGAGCTGGCCCATGACAAGGTACATGATTGGCGGGTTCTCGCTGACGTGAACCATGATGAGCTTCTCGACCGGGATGCGCCTCGTGCTCGACGCCGACCGGATGCTGACAGGCTGCACACGGGGTGACCCACTCGGGCCAAGCGACGACGTCAAGGCAGAGGTGGCACGGGTTGCTGAACGCTGCGAGTCCTTGCACGAGCTCGACCAGGGCATCCTGGCCGCTCATGACGGCGCCGATCTTCAACTCGCGCAGGTCTGCCCGCCCTGCCGAGATGGTCGCCCATAGAGTCGGTCCCTCGACAGGCACCTTGATAGAGAGAATCTCGAGGCGGGCTGAGCACAGGTCGACGAGCTCAACGGCGAGGACGTCGGCTCCAGGCCACGGGGGCGAGCTCGAAGCCGGACGCGCGCGATACCTGGTCGTGGGTTCAGAGTCGCCGCCTCGAAGATGAGCTCGCGCAATCTCGCGAGCGAGCTGCGCATGCGCATGCTCGAAGAGGAGCAGAGCGAGGTCGTCGTCGTCCCTCACAGCGAGATCAAGCGAGGAAAAGGGAAGCGGCGGCTCGCGTCGCGCAATGGCGGGCAGACCTGCGCGACACGGTGGCCAAGCATGAGCTTTGCCTCGTCTCGGCCTGCAGCAATGCGACTGGGCGGCTGTCGTTGTCGGTGTCGTGGTCGGCGTCGTCGTCGGGGTGCTCCAGGGGCTGAAGGACGTCGGCGAAGACCTCAGGCGGGAAGACAGGTGCGCTCGCGATGACAGCGGCGTGACTGTAGGAGTGCTCGTGGTCAGCTGGGTCGCTCTGTGGGGGCGCGAGGGGAGTAGGGACGCACCTGCTCGCCGCGATGAGGTCGGGCAACGATGCCGTGGCGAGCTCGACGACGACGCGCTGAGGCGATTAACGGGGTCCACAGCAAGCCCAGAGGAGTCGAGTATAGCAGTGGAATACTCAATCGTCGCAAGCTGTGCGAGGCGAGGCGAGCGAAAGTGAGCGGCAGGAAGAGGAGAGCCTGGGGAGCGTGGCTCTGCCAGCTCGACACCGCCTCGTGCACCTGTGCTGCACGAGCCATGCACCGAGTACTCGCCACGACCCGCCTCTTGCGCTCGACAAACGCGCGCACATTCGCCTCGTCGTCTTGCTGGTGCCAGTCCGAGCCGTCCGTCCCCGCTCTCTCTCGCCGCCCCTCGCCGCCAGGACAGCGTCAAGCTGACTCTACATTCGCGCACACCAGCTCAAATACCTCGGACCAGCCGCCGCAAGCCAACGCACCGCCAGAGCCGGCCGCCGCCTACTCGCTCCCGCAGGACGCCTTCGCCGGCGAGGACCACTCGTCGTCCGCCGCCTCGTTCCGCCCGTCGACTCGGCCACCGACGTCGAAACCTCGCCAGCGGCAGTTCCTCAGCACCGCCGAGGCCCAGGCGTTCGCCGACCTCCTCGGCGAGATCCTCCCGCGCTCGTCCCGCCCGCCCGACTCTGCGTCGTCTACCGGCGGCGCACCAGGCGCAGGCGCACCTCCACCCGGGCTCTTCGACATCTTCTCCCCGAGCACGGCCGCCGCCGGCCAGTCGCCCGAGGTCGCGTCGGGCGTGAGCCGCGTGCAGCAGGCCCTCATGCGCAAGGTCGGGCACAAGATGGGCGTCTCGCTCGAGCCGGGCTCGGGTCGCTTGCAGCGCAAGGCGCGCGACGAGCTGACCGAGCAGGAGGCGCTCGAGCTCGACCGCCACCGCGAGGAGCTCGCGACCCTGCGCTCGGACAAGGACGTTCTCGAGTGGGGCCTGCGCACCGTCTTTGGCCTCAGCGCGAGCTCGCGCGCCGGCATCCTCCCCGACCCGTCGACGCTCCTCGTCGAGCTCCCGCCCTCGATCGACGGCGACGCGGCGGGCAAGGGCGTCGCGGTGACGGTCGGCCCCTCGTCGCGCCTGTTCCCCGACCTCCTCCACCTCCTCTTCCTCTCGTTGCGCGACACGCACCGGTCCCCGAACGCCGCCCTCTCCGTCTTTGCCCTCGCCGCGTCCAACCCCTTCTCGTACATCTCGGGCTGCACGACGGCGCTCTACAACGAGGTCCTGCGCACGCGCTGGGCAGAAGGCGACGTCGAGTCGCTCCTCGCGTCACTCGAGGAGATGCGCGCCGCCGGTGTCGCCCTCGACGATCGCACCCGCGAGCTCGTCTCGGCCGTCGGCGAGGCCATGCGCGTCGACGAGGAGCGCGCCGACGTGCGCGTGTCGGCCCTCGTCGACTCGAGGCAGCTCGGCGGCGCGACGGGCATCCTCGACGAGCGCGAGCGCCAGGTCGAGGTCCTCAAGCGGCGCTTCTTCTCGGCGCACCAGGTCGACGCGTGGGGCCGCATGGACCGCATCGTCGAGGAGAACTTGTCCGAGATGGCGCGCGAGCGGCGCGAGCGCGACGAGGACCGGTGGCACGCGCAGGAGCACGCGCGCCTCTCGCTCGACGACCTCGAGCGCGACGCCGCCGAGCGCGAGCGGCCGAGCCTCGTGAGCCGGCGCAGCCTGAGCCCGTACGACGAGGGCCAGTCGGCGTACTCGTCCTCCTCGTCGTCAGGGCGCCGAGGCGGCGCCTCGTCTCGCGGCGGGGGAGGGCAGATGACCGAGTCTGGGTGGCGGGACCCCGTGCCGGAGCGCGACGAGGACGGGCGCCTGAGCCTCCCGAAGCGGCCGTCGTTCGCCAACCCGTACAAGATTCGCCGCAAGTCGTTGACCAAGGCCGAGAAGTCGTCCAAGGACAACAAGCACCCGGCGCTCTGGTGGAAGAACTGAGCTCGCCCTCTCTCTCTCCTCCCTCTCCCTTTGCCCCCTGTAGCTGCCCTCGCGCGCCTCGTCCCTGTCCTCTCACACCCCTCGCAACTCGCACTTTCTCGCACTTCTTGCTCTCGCCGGGCAAAGTAGAGACAGAGAGAGGGAGAGAGCGCTTGATGCTTTGCAATAACGAGTCAAGAGTGAGGGCAGATGCACATAGAAAGGGGGCAAAGTGTGAGGACAGGGGAAGAGAGAGAGGGAGGGCGAGCGCTTTTCAAGTCGATGCGGTGCCACGCTTCTTCAGCAGGCGGACCGCGCCCTCGAGGAGGCACTCGTACACGCTGCGGAACTGGCGCGCGTTGGCGACGAGCGACATGCGCTGCTCGCGCAGCTCGTTGACGCCCGCAAAGACCGGGTCGGGCTGCTCGAGGGCGGGCACGTCGAGCGACGGCAAGACCGGGTGCGGCGGCGGGCCAGGCGACGCAGGTGGGCCTCCGAGAGACGACAGAGAGAGGCCCGCCGAGAGCTGCGACGTCTCGGGGTCCGACTGTCGCTCGGCAAGAGGCGGTCGCGACGGCGTCGCTGCGCCGGACGACGACGCCGCCGAGTCGCCCGTCGCGTCGATGTCCATCGCGTCGCCGGTCGCGGCGGCGGCGCCATCGGAGGACGAGGGAAGGTGGCCGCCAAGGTCCCGCCGCAGCTGGGCCAAGAGCGAGCTGACCATGATGAAGACGCCGGTGCGGCCGACGCCGGCCGAGCAATGCGCCAGGATGGGCGGCTCGAGGCCGTCATGGTCGGCGACGTCCCACCCGATCTCGCGCATGTAGTCGCGCTGGGCGGCGTCGACCTCGTCGACGAGCGCCACGACGTCGGACGGCTCGGCGGGGATGTCAAAGTCGGGCCACGCGCGGTACTGGATGTGGCGGATCTTGCGCGGCGCGGACGAGGCGGACGACGACGACGACGATGCGGCCTGCTCGCGAGGGCGGCGCTGCACCGTGATCGTGCGGCGGACGGTCGAGTCCTTGACGCTCGGCTCGGCGTTCTCGGGCTTGGTACCAAACGCGGCGAAGAAGCCGCCGCCTGGCCCGTTCGCTGCGCTCGCCGCCTCCTGCTCGAGCCGCTCGCGGTCCTCCTCCTCGTGGGCCGCATCGCCGTCGACGCTCACGTCCCACTCGCCGTCGTGCTGCGGGACCCAGTACCGGCCGCACTTGTCGCGCCCGGCCTCGCGCAGGTTGGTGAGCATGATGACGACGCCGACGTGCTCCTGGTCGCACATTTGCCAAAAGTCGCGGAACGTGGTCGGGAGCGGGCCTTGCGACGCGATGAAGCGCTTGGTCGAGCCGCGCAGGAAGAGGTGCGACGCGTTGACGTAGTCGGTCGCCGACGGCGAGTGCTCCTTGAGCCGCACCCTCGAGTGCTCGTACTGCGGGAACGTGCGGAAGAGCAGAGTAAGTGTCGAGCGCCTCGGGCGACGGCAGGAGAGGAGGGGAAACGAGACGCACCGGGAAGATGTTCTTGAAGCGGTTGAGGTGGCCGAGCTCGACGCCTGCCGAGATGCCGAACTTGGCCCAGTGCTCTCCATCGCTGTCGCTCTTGGCCGCCGCACCGCCCTGCGCGCCGCCCTTCTGCCCCGAACCCGCCTCGCCCGCCTCGAGCGCCGTCTGCTGCGCGTGGAACCGGAACATGCCCTCGAGGCGCTCGCGCTCGGCGACCTCGAGCTCGTAGAACTGTCGCGCGAGACGATCGGCACGCGACATGGGCGAGAGGCGAAGGAGGGCTTGGAGGTAAGAAGGGAGGGCGCCGGCGACGGCGGGAGGGACGTTGGGCAGCTCGACCGGCGTGAGGTGCGCGAGCGAGCCCTCGAGGGACAGAGCCTGCGAGGGTACGAGGAAGGTGTCAGGGGGCGTCGGCAGGCACTGGACGAGGACGAGCGGCGGGCGCACCTCGCTGTTTTGCCGAATGTTGTCGAAGAACGGGTTGGCGCTCGTGCGCAGCTGGTCGCGCTTGCCTGCGAGAACGGGATGGTGGCTCGCTCTGTCAGTTTTGCCGAAATCGAGAGTCATGGGCGAAGCGAGGGTCGGCCGGTCGAAGGTCGTCGTCGAGTCGAGGGAGGCGGCAGACGTACCCGGTTCGTTGCCGCTCTTGCGACGCTTGCCCATGTCGGGCCGCTGGCTCGCGAGCGACGAGATGCTGCCCTCGCCCTCGCTCGACGGCGGGCTGGTCGTCTTGGCGTCGACGCCGCGACGGGACGTCGGCAGCGCGCCCGGGTTGCCCGGCGCGCCGCCTCGCACCGACTCGTGCATGTAGGCCGACGTCGACGCGAGCTGGAAGGCGGCGGCGGGCAGGTCCCGGACCTGGAGGACGGGCCGGCCGTGCTTCTTCGAACCGGCACCGGCGCTGGCGCCGCTCGGCGACGACGTCGGGTCGGCCGCGAGGGACGCCGACAGGGCGCCACGCTGCTGCGGGGCGCCGTCGAGCGGCGTCGACGTGCCCGTCCCGGGCGCAGACGACGGCGAGCCGCCTGCCGGGCCCGAGTGGAGGAGGGCCTGCTGCTCGTCGGCGGCGAGGCCGCGCAGCTGCGTCCTCACGGCGTACCAGCCGCCCTTGACCCACCCGAGCTTGCCCGCGAAGCCGGCCTTGTCGAACTTGGCCAGGAGCGACACGACGCCGCCTCCTTCGACGAGCGACGTCGACTCGTTGTCGAGGACGACGATGGCGGCGGCCGACGCCCACTTCTCGAAGACGGCCTGGTCCGCCGGCGAGAGGCCCTCGGCGACGCGGTCGATGCCGAACGCCGGACGGCGGAGGAGCGTCGACGGGACGCAGATGTTGATGGCGCCCGTGAGCCGCTCGGCGACGTAGGCGGTGTGCGGGCGAATGTCGAGGATGAGGAGGGGAGGCGAATCGGGTGCGCCGTCTCGCGGCGCCGAGCTCAGGAGGACGCTGAAGAGCGTCTGCGGGTTGTAGAGGGTGTACCGCGACGAGTCGACGACCGGGGCGGACGACGCCGAGGGCCGCGCCGAGAGCGAAGAGGGTCGACCGGCGACGCGACGCCCGGGCGGCATCGACATGGGGAACGACAGGGACGGCGGCGTCGCCGAGCTCGAGGGGAACGAGATGCCGGCGGTCGTACTCGGGCCGGGCGTCGGCGGGACGGGGTGTGCCGAGGGGGAGGAGGAGGAGGAGGGTGGCGCCGCGAGGTTGAACGGGTTGGCGGTGGCGGTCGCCGCGGGGCTCGCGACGTAAGTGTCGGATGAGGGAAAGAAGGGCGAGCTCGCGGGTGCGTGCAGGGGCGTGCCCGGGCCGCCACTGGACGACGGCCCTCGGAGGAGGTGGTTGAACTTGGCGTTGAACGCGGTCGACGACGGTGAGAGGGCGAACGACGGCGGGGCCGACGCTGCCCAGCCGTCTGGCGCGCTCACCTTGCCGGCGGGGCCGGCCTCTGCACCGAAGCCGCCGCTGCTGCCGCCGAACGTAAAGCCCGCCTGGCCGCCGCTGACCGCGTCATGGTGGAAAGTGGACCGGCCCTCGAACCCGCCCGCCGCCTGGCCGTTTTCGTCTGTGGCGACAGGACCACCGTCACTGGTGCCGCTCGTGCCCCACACAGGCGGACCGCGCTCGACGGCCGGCGTCGGCGGAGCGAAGTAGTCGGGCCCTGGTCGGTCACCGTTGACGTTGGTGGGCGAGAGGCGCGGGCGCGCCGCGGACGGCCCTTGGGGCTTGACGCGCATGTCGCGCGATCCTGGAAGAGGCGCCACACTGGCTGGCGAGCTGAGGCGAGGCGGAGGAGAGCTGGGCCGCCGGCGATCGTCGAGGAGAGAGAATGAAGGCGACGGCGTCGGCAGAGGGCAGGTCGGACTGGTGTGTCGGTGCGCTGGACGTGAACGGTCTGTAGCTGGTGCAAGAGCTTCGTGAGCGGTGGCGCTCGGCTTGTAGCAGAGAGCGCGGCCTCTCCTCGCTGTCTCGCTCCTCGCCGACGACCGTCACTGCTTCGAGACCAACTTATCTCGCCACCGAGTGCAGCGTGCTTCTGCTCACGGGAAGCTCTGTCACTTCGGCTGCGACCCATTCAGCGCCATAAGAGGTGCTCACAGTCTCGACCTCGCTTTGGCCTCGCGCTCCTCGGCCCGCAGCACGCTCGCTCGAGCCGCTCGTGTGCTTCCTTCTGCTCGAATGCCTGGCGCTGCCATCTTCTCTGCTGAGCACTGCGACGAGTGAGAAAAGAGCAGCCTCTCCTCGATACTCGCGCCCACGCTGACGCCGCTTTCCTCGCCCCTCTCCCTCTCCCCGAACACGTCGCCCTGCACCGGTTGCGTCACCCGCTACATCTCCCACACGGCGCCCCTCTCCGGGTGCTCCCGCTCGACGTCCCAACCGACGAGGGCGTCCAGACACGCGCGGCCAACCTTGGGCTCGAGTTCCTCGACGACGGCCGGGTCGATGAAGGCGCCGCCGGTGCGGTCGGCAAAGACCATGTGGCAGGCTGCGGCGCGGATGTTGGGCGACAGGTGCGACAGGTGGAGGAGGTGGGCGCTCTCCATCTGGTGGGCGGGCGCGAGAGAGGTCGAGGTCGAGAATGAGGGACGGGGGCAGGGTCAGTCGGTTCCGCGCGTTCGTGCTCGCGGCAAAGGGGTTGGACCGTCGGCGCACCTCGAGACTGGCACAGTCCGGGTTGGCCTTGACGAGGTCGTCGATGAGCGTCTCGTTGTCGTCCTGAAAGTTGCGGTCGATGCGGCCCTGGCTCGAGTCTGCGGACGGTGGCGCCTCGCGTCGTCAGGGACTGCGTCCGGATCGGCTCGACGAGCCGAGAGATAGAGAGAGAAAGGGGACGCACAGAAGCAGTCTGCCGAGGCGTGGAGCTCGAGCGAGCGGACCTTGCAGGTTGAGGACGCGACCGAGCCGCTCAGGGACGAGACGAGCTGGGAGGCGACTTGTCAGGACCCTGGCGCGAGGGGGCGAGGGAGACAGAGAAAGACAGAGAGAAAGAGAGACGCACAGCAGCCTGAAGATCTGCGTCCGCCGGGATCTGCGCGTGGCGAGCCGAGGTCAGAGCACTCGCCGAGGATGGCGAAAGAGAGGAGCGTGGACGCACAGGTGGCGAGAAGAGGTACGGCGGCTCAGCCTCCTTGTCGCTCTCGCCGTGCCAGTGCGCGTAGTTGGTGCTGATCTGCAGGGCCTGCTTGGGGATGCCGATCGAGCCGACAGGAAGGGAAGGGTCGAGCGAGCCGCACGAGCCGAACCTGCGGTCGGGTAGAGCGAGGGTTAGCTATGTCCAGCAGCCAGGCAGACACGCAGGAAAGAGGACGGACCGGATGATCGCGAGGTCGCCGTCGACGACGGCTCGGACCTCGCGCACGAAGAAGTCGACCATGGCGACGCCTGAAGGACTGAGCGTCAGGTCTCGGCTGCTTGTGATCGCGAATCACGTCTGAGAGCGGGACGCACCCATGCCGATGGCGATGAGGGTCACGGGCACGCCCTTGTAGCGGCCCGTCACGGTCGTGTACCCTCGCGCCGACGCATGCTCGAACGGCTTGGGCTCCTTGTCGAGGAAGCGCTTGAAGCGGTGCAGGCGGGCCGGGTCGCCGACGGTGACGATGCGGTTGGCGACTTGACCTGTGGGATCATACACAGAGCGAGTCAGTTGCGAGAGTGAGGGAAGCGTGCGCGAGCCTCGCAAGGAGGGCCGCTCGTCGGCGAGGGGGCGAAGGAAGGGATTGGGCTCACCCGACTTGACCGAGACGTGGTAAACCCGACCATCGGCTGTGTTCAGTGATCAAGAGTGGGTCAGCAGGGTCGAGCGTGCTCGCAAGGAGGCGTCGTTGTAGACTCGCCGTCCATCGGCTGGGTGGGGGAGGGAAACAGGTCAGCGTTCGTCGATGGGCTGCAGAGGCAGGAGGGACGCACAAAGTTGGCGTTGCTGATCTTGTCGAGCATCTTGGGCGGGCTGGACAGGGCTCGACGGCAGGCGAGATATCGAGTCGAGTGAGGTCGGACGGTGGTTCAGGTCGAGGAAGGCGGGCGTGTCCTGACTCGGCGGCGGGGCGGAGAGCTGGTAGCGTGTGCTAGCTGCTTCAGCAGTGGCAGGCCTCGTGCGAAGAGCAGGTGGTGAGAGCGAGAGCCGTCTCTCAACGGTCCAAGGCGAGGCGGAGCGGCCGAGACGAGCGTCGTCCCACTCGCACCACCCAGACGCGCTCTGCACGCCAGCTGTGCGTGCACGAGGGCCTGCCTGAGCCGCCCACCACTAGCTCAAGCGCGGCCGCCGACCTCGACACGCACCTCTTCGCCTCCGCGCCACTCGACTCGCCGCGACCCTGCTCCGCCTCGCCGCTCGGTGTGTGCGAGCCGGGCACGCGCTGTACCGCACCTCCAGCCCGCTCGGTGTGCACCCCTCTCTCTGGCGTACGTCCTCGTGACCTGAGCTGACCTCGCCCATTCTCATCTGCAGCGCGTCCTCCCGTCCTCCACTACCCCCGTACCGCCATGCACCGCCGCCCGGAACCCGTCATCTCGGACTCGGAGCCCGAGGACACCTCGCCGCTCCCGCACCTGTCCGCGCACAAGACCGCCTCGAGCCGGTCGAGCCGTCGTCGCACGTCCGACGAGCGCCCGGGTCTGAGCACGGGCGAGGCCGACGGTCGCGAGGTGCTCGTCCTGTCGTCTGCGTCCGAGGGCGAGGACGAGAACGGCGCCAAGCCCGTCACGTCGTCCTACTTCTCGCTCGCGGCGACCAAGCGCCGCAAGCGTCCTTCGTCCGGCACGCCCGACGACTGGCCGTTCGCCGGCCTCGTCGACCGCGAGCCCCGTCGCAGCAGTGGGTTGTCGGGCGCGAGACACGCGTCGAGCGACTCGCGCTCGCGCTCGGGCAGCGGCGCCGAGCTCGCCATCCCGACCCTCCCGTCCCCGTCGGCCGCGCCCTCGACCGCGCCCTCGCACTCGCCCGACCTCGCCCCCGCCGCCTCAACCTCGTACGACATCGCGTCTCGTGCGGGCCTGTCGTTCGTCTCGGCGCGCGACCTGCTCGCGGCGAGCGGCTCGGCCGCTCCTCGCGCCGACGACACGGACGACGAGCTCCTCCCGCCCGCCCAGCTCGGCCGCGCCTCGTCGGCAGCGGTCAAAGGGACGAGTGACGTCGTCGTCGACGCCCCCAAGAAGAAGAAGAAGAAGCCGACGCCCGCGCCGCCGCGCTCGGCGTCGGTCGAGTCGGACCCGTCGATCGAGGTCCTCGAGCCTGGCCCGCGCGGCACGAGCGCGAGCCGGCCCGTCAAGGCGGCGCCTCGCCGTCGCCGTGCCGACAAGGTCGTCGCCGACAACGACGTCGTCGTGCGCGAGGACTCGGCCGCGTCGGGCGGGTCGTCGACTGGGTCGCTGCCGCCGCCGCCGTCCGAGTGGCGCGACCGCTTCGAGCGCGGCGCGTCCTCGGGAGCTCACGCTGCAGGCGCGTCTCGCGGCGACAGCCAGGCGCCGGCACCGGCGCCGACGCCGTCGTCATCGGTGCGCCGCAAGCCGTGGGAGGACCTCGAGGCCAAACTCGCGTCGGGCCAGGGCAAGAAGAAGGCGGCCAAACCTCGAGCTCGCGCGGTCAAGGCGGCCAAGGCCGAGGTCGTCGAGGTGGACGAGCTCGCGAGCGACGAGGACGACGCGGCGGTTGTCGCGTCGAACGGCGCCGGGCGGGCCTCGTCGAGCCGGTCCGCGTCGACGGCCGCGGCGACCAAGCCTCGCTCCAAGGCCGTCGGCTTGCTCCCGACGCCGATGGCGCTCCCCGCCGACGCCCGCCTCCGCCTCCTCTCGTCGTGCCCGCTCCCGCTGTGCGACTTCGCCCTGCCGACCACCAAGGCGCTGTCGACGCGCCAGACCCACCTCCGCACCTGCGCCAAGAAGCTCGACATCACGGCCGCGACCGTGTCGGACCTCGTCGACGCGCAGATCGTCGCCCTCTCCGAGGCTGCCGACGCGGCCCGTCTCGCGAGGGCCGACTCGCGCACCCAGTTCGACGAGGCCATCGGGCGCGGGCAAGGCGCCGCGGCCAACGCTGACGTCCACGTGGTCGGCGTCGAGGGCTTTGACGGCCGCGACCCGTCGCAGTGGTACCGCGCGATCAAGGAGGTCCAGGACGAGTTTGACCTCGCCCGCAAGAAGGCCGAGCGGCCGAGGGAGGCCAAGCTCGAGCGCATGGCCAAGGAGATCCGCCGCGAGCGCGCCGAGGCGGCCAAGTGCGGCTCGAGCGCCGTGCAGGACAACGGCGAGGACGACAAGCCGCACGTCGGTGCCGCCGGCGCCGACGACGATGGCGACGATGGCTTTGCCGCCATGCCCGCCGCGACGGGCCGTCTGCGCGCCGAGACGCCTGCGGCCCGCAGGGTGGTCGTGCAGCGTGCCGACACGCTCCTCGGCTCGACGAGCGCCCGTGCCGCTCCGACGACGATCGACTCGGACGGCGACGACGTGCTCGACTTTGGCGACGGGCCCGTCTTTACCTGCGACCTCACGCCGCCGCGCCCGACCCAGGTGCTCGAGCCGAGTCTCTTTGCGCCCTCGACTCGGCTCGACTCGGACTCGAGCGTCGAGGTCCTTGAGGCGGCGGCGGCGACGACGACGACGACGACGACGAGCGGGGCCACCGCAAGGCGGTCTCGCTCGCCCTTTCGAGGGCTGTTGCTGCAGGACCCGTGCAGCAACAGGCTTACCGTCAAGGGTCCCCAACTCGGACGTCGCCGCAGCAGCACCAACGTCCGCGACTCGCTCTGGCGAGCCGCAGCAGGTCGCGACGACGCCGCCCTCAAAGTCGTCGTGCGTCCACCTTTCATCCCTCTCTCGCCGTACCACGGGCGGATCCTAAACTAACACCGTTGCACCCCCCGACGCAGCTCAAGAAGCGCCGTCACGCCTCGGACGACGAGTCCGCTCACGCCGAGCGCGACGCACGCGATGAGAACGCTTGGTTTGCTCAGCCCTGAGCAGGACCTCGCGCTCGCCGCCGACGAGGACGAGGACGCGGTGTGGATGGAGGACGAGTCGAGCGCCGGCCTCGTCCTGGTCGGCGGAGCAGAAGTCGGAGCAGAGTCGAGTGAGGAGGAGCCGCTCGCCAGTGTCGTCCGGCGCACAGCGCCGCCTACCACGGCTCGCCACTTGCGCACGACCCTCGCCTCGTCACCTCGCCCCAGGCGTCCTCCCTCTCCCGCTTCCGACAGCGACGACTGCCTCCCCCGGCCCGCTCGCCTTCCTGCACCCGTTCGTCGCCTCGAGCATACCGCCTCTACTGCCGCCAACGCGCCGTCCGCCGCTTCAGCTCCAGCCTCCGACCCCGCCGCCGCACCGCCCGACTACTCGTCCCTGTCCCTCGCCGCCCTGCAGCGCAAGGCCGCCGCGTACGGCTTCCGCCCGTCCAAGGAGCGCACCGTCCTCGAGCGGCAACTCGCCGGCGTGTGGCGCGTGCTCCACCCTGCCGGCGCGAGCGCGACGGGCGGTGCCGAGGTGGGCGCGTCGTCGTCGTTGTCGTCGTCGTCGCCGCCGCCGAAAAAGACGCGCGGGCGCAAGAAGAAGGTCGTCGCGGTCGAGGAGGACGACATGGACGGTCGTGCTGCGCAGGCCGACGACGAGCCGGTCGGCGAGAAGCTGCGGCGTCTCGTCGTGGCGGACGAGGGCCTGTACCTGCGCGTCTTGCGGTACGAGGTGCGCCCCGTTTTCTCTTGCTCGTCCTTCTCCTCCCTTGCCCGCCAGACCTGACACTGCCTTCACGTGTCGCAGCCGATCCACCTCGACGAGTTCGTCGCGCTCGCGGCCAAAGGCGGCGTCAAGATCGCCAAGCCGCTCCTCGTGCGCTTCCTCGACGAGCAGGTGCGTCGCACCCTCTCCTCTTTCCCTTCATGGACCGTGCCTTGACGCACAGTCTTCTTCAGAGCATCACATTCTTCACGCAAGACCCCACCGGCGGCACGAGGCGCCGCTATCGGTGACACCTTGTCGACGTCGAGCGCCCTTTCCCCCCTCTCGTCCCGCCCCACTCCCCTCGCACGTCCCTCCTCCTCGATTCTGTGCTCGCCCTTTTTGTCCCTTGCCGTCGGTCTGCCCGGTGCCGCCGCCTTGCCTTTTGTCGCTTGTAGTTCCTCCTGCAGTGATTCCTCGTTCCTCGTTCTTGCTCGCCCGTACTCTCGCCCTCTCTCGAGACGGAAGCGCGCCTTCCGCACCTCGCTGCAGCCGCCGAGCTCAGCAGACGACGTGCGCCCCGACAGCCGCCTCCTTGCAATGCAGTCGTGGCGGCATCGTCCGTCTCGAAAGCCTGACATCGTCGAGAGCGGCTCGAGCGCGGACTTCAAACGCCTGCTGCGAGCTTTGGCGAGCCGGCTCAGCTCTCATTCTCTGCTTCTTCGCACTTCTCCTCGCTCGAGCTCACGAGAGCGTCCCTCACTTGCACTGTGAGGAGAAGAAGGAGAGCAGGGTCTCTGCGCCGACACTGCCGCTCGCATTGCCTCGTCCTTCGTCCTGCTCACGAGCTCACAAGCCTTCTCGTCGTCGGGGAGCCACCGAACGCTCTCACCCGCGAGGCCGCTGCCGGCAGAGATATCGAGAAGGAAGTACAACAACAGCTACTCTTTGTGCGCCACTTTGGGTCCCTCGCTCACTCTTCCTCGTCGCGTCGCAGCTCTCGTCCATGCTTCGACCCACCCAGCTCAGGCAGGCGCCGCGCCCCACACCTTGACCGTACCGTCCGAGCTCGCCGTGACGAGCTGCTGCTCCTTGGGGTGATGCGCCGTCCACAGGATCGGCTTGTCGTGCGCCTGGAACGACGCTCGAGCGAGAGGGTTGCCCTGCGCGCGAGTGGTCAGGTCAGTGCTGCACGACGGGTTGATGGGCGCAAAGGCGCATCACCGAGTGGGTCGCTCGTGGAAGGAGGCGAGGAGGAAAGGAGCGCGACGGACCGACTCGAGGTCCCACCCCCAGACCTTGCCGTCCTCGTCGCCGCAAAACACCGTCTCCTCCCTCGCGCCGATGCAGCTCTGCGACCGATAGCTCGTGTTCTTGTGCCCGGTGAACGACTGGACGACGGTGCCGTTCGACAGGTCGAGGAGCCGGTGCGTGCTGTCGAGTGTCGAGACGAGGAGGAGGGACGAGTCGGTCGTGAGCGAGAGGGAGGTGACGGGCTCTGCGGGAACGAGGGCACGTCAGGACCAGTCCGGGGGACGATCTCGTCGGCGTCAAGGGCGAGGCCCGGACCTTGGAGGACGAGAGAGAGGATGGGTCGACGCACGATCGAAGAAGTCCGCCTGCAGCTGGCCCATGCGCAGGTCGTAGGTGCGCGCGAACCCGTCGACGCATCCCGAGATGACGAGGTGGTCGCGGATGAGGACGCTCGTGATCGAGTCGCGCGCCTCGTCGAGCACTTGAAGCGGCGCGCGGTTCTGCGACCTGCAAAGGTCGTGCGTCAGAAGGGGGCCTCTGACAGGGCTCGAGCGGACGAATCGACGCACTTGATGTCGTACAGTCGAACCGTCGTGTCGAACGAGCCTGCACGGCGAAAAAGAGTGGTCAGTCGAGGTCGTCGGGCTCCGAGGGAGGGGTGGGACGGACCACTGGCGAGGACGCTCGCATCTCGGTTCCACGCGACGGCGTTGACCTTGCCGACGTGACCGCTAAGACGACGAAGGATGTCGCCCGACGTGACGTCCCAGAGGAAGACGCTGCGGTCGCCGCCGCACGACGCGAACCGAGTGTTGTCGTGGGTGCTGTAGGACGACGAGGTCAGCGGGTTCGGGTCCGTGCACCTCCAGGGACACCCGCATCGGTTCGTTTGACGAGCTCGACGACAGGAACGAGAGAGCCGGACGCACCAAGCGAGCCCGAGAACCTCGTAGCCGTGGCCGCCGTACGACTTGATCTCGGCGCCCGTCTTTGCGTTGGTGAGCCGAACTTGACGGTCGGCACCTCCGGTGAGGATGTACGAGCTGCCCGTATTGTACACGGCCGTATGGACCGCGCCCTTGTGCGACTCGACGGCGAACAGGAGGCGAGACGGCGGGGAGCGAGGAGACGGCATTGTCGCGTCGCTCGGAGCTGGCCGCCGGGCGGAGGAGGAGCTCAAGCGGTAGAGCAAGGGCACTCGGGGAGCCAGTCCCACAGCGCGAGAGCGGCTGAGAGGTGGGGAGCCAGCCCTCGGCTCATCGTCCAACCTCGTTCTTCTCGCTCGACCCACCTCGCTCTCACCGCTGAGAGCAGAGCCGAGTGCGCGCTAGCCACTCTTTCGACCCTGTGCATGAACCCTGTCGCGGTCGTCAAGCTCTTCATCGCGTTTTCATCGAGCACCAGATGGCATCGTTGGCCCACCTCCATCGTCGGTCTGCCTCTGTCCCGGCAACCAGGTGCGTCTTCTGCGCCCGCCAGCCTCCTGGACCGGCCACTCTCTGACCAGGCACTCCCTTGCAGCCGCGCCCACGACATCACGGGTCCTCCCATCTTCCCGCAGGAGATCTTCAACCTCATCCTCGAGCACCTCGAGAACATTGTCCACCCGTTGAGCCGCGATGCACCTCTCGAGGCCGAGGCAGACCAGCGCATGCTCGGCGACCGCATGAAGCGCGTCAGCCCGGCGTGGTTGACCGGCGGCCGCCGGATCGCCTGGTCGCGGGTGACCTGCTTCTGGGACGTCGAGGACAAGCTCGTCAAGTTCCTCTTCGAGCAGCCTGCCCTCGCCCGCGAGATCCGCGAGCTATTGTTCCAGCCAGGCGAGCACTGCCCCACAAGGACGGCTCCGGGCGACCACCGCCGTCAAACCGTCGACGTCGTCGAGCTCATCAAGACGTGCTCGGGCCGCCTCGACAAGCTCTTCTTCGTCTGTCCTGTCGGCGACCATGATCTGTGGGCGCAGGTCACGTCGTCGGTCATGGCGGCTACGCTCTCAGAGCTCAGCCTCCTCGTCGACTACAGCAACGACGCGCTCCTGTTTGAGCTCCGGCAAGGTCTCGCCCACTTCGTCCGGCTCAAGATCCTCGGCGTCATCATCGAGACCGACCGCGGGTTGTCTGCACGCCGCAGTGTCGCTCAGCCGGCGCCGATCGCGATTCGCCTTCGCATCACGCGCTTCACCTTCGAGCACGTCGTCAAGCGCGCGACAAGCTCGAGCGTCCTTGCCAGCAGCTTCTTCGCGCAGCTCCTCGAACCCGAGCGGCTGCACAGCCTCGCGCTGAAGGTGTCCCTGCAAGAGGCGGAGCAGCTCAACTGGATCGGCGCGTTCCGCCGTCTGCGGTTCATCTCCCTCTCCTGCGCCCCGTGGTCGCCCAACTTCCGCCCCGTCACGGCCCACATCGCGCTCTTTGCCGAGGCCATCGCGTCTCTCCCTGAGCTCGGGACGGTCCGCATCAATCCCGCGCCCGCGCGCGACTTGAGCAGCGACAGCCCGCCCGTCCCGTCGCCCGTCCCGCTCAGCCACCTCCTCGCCCAAATGCCGCCGCGCATCAAGACCTACCGCATCGGCGGTGGCGTCTTCTTCACGGACAACGTCGGCCTGCCCGGGATACCTCGCCATCAGTGGCCACCCCCCGACGTCTGCCTCAAGCTGTCCCTGAAGGTCCGGCGCGACTGGACGGCTCGCCTCGTCCGCATGTACCGCCGCACAGGGCCCGACCACGTCCAGACCTGGTCCATCCTCCCCGAGGTGCGCTTCTGCAGTTCACTGTCACTCTGAGCCTCAGAACCTGACTCGCGCTCGACCACGCAGAACGTCGTCGGGCCGCTTGACGACATCGAGTGACCCGGTCAACCTCGTGCGTGTTTGTGTCCTTTCTGCTCCACTCGTACAGTCTATACTGACCCCCTGCACTTGCAGGCTCAACCTCTTTCCCTCGCCAACTCGCCTCCACCATCGCCTGCCTCTCCACCTGTCGTATCCCTCTCCCTATCTGAGCTTTCTCTCCTACTCTTTGCCCATCTTGCACGTATCTCCTATCGCCTGCAACGGTGCGAGCGTTTTGCGACTCGCACAAAGCAAAGCTGAGAGAGAGACCGGGCGAGAAAGCGAGCCGAGCCGCTTTCCTCGAGCGAGCGACCGTCTCTCCCTCTTTCTCGTCTGTGCGTTTCTCCTTTCTCAGACGGCGCTCCCGCAGAAAACGAGAGAGACAGAGAAAAAAAAAAAGATGTAGTGCAGCGTCCGCTCTACGGCTTCGAGCGCAGTCCCCTCCTCATCCTCGATTCTCGTTCGCCGGCTCCACGTCCCTCTGCACCTCGCCCGTGCTCCTCTTCCGCCGCCCCAGCCCCCTTCGCCCTCCCTGCTAGCCTCACGGCGCCGAGAATCGACCGCTGCCACACGCGCTGCGCCGTGCGCGCTCGCGCGAGGAGGAGAAGAACATGGAGAAGGTCGAAGCCGCAAGCGGCGGGCGCTCGGCGCAAAGAGAGCGTCGAGGAGGCGAGAGAGGGAGCTCGTCGGGTCGTCGAGACAGGACGGCAATGTAGAGGGCGTGCAGGGCAGGGCCGAGTCGACGAAAGGCGGGTTTGCGACGACGACGACGAGGAAGGATCGCGTGGCCGAGCGTGCGAGCCGAGAGAAGAAGCCGGGTCGTCGCAGTCGGGTCTGCAGTCGGTGGATGGAGCCGCGCAGGGCCTTGTGAGCGTGTCGCGAGTCATCGCGCCGCCCGAGTCCGGCAAGTAGACGGAGGGAGAAGGAGAAGGGGTGCGGACGCGCCTGCACTGGGATTTCGAGCGCGACAAAGCACGCGATAGGGCCTCTGAAGCTGTTCTAGAGGTCTGCAGGGCAGACTGTCGCGCTCGAGGCTGCCGTCGCCGCGCACGACGAGCTAACGACGGACGGACGATGAGGGCGACAGCGTCCCGAAGGCGTAGCGCGGGCGCGTGCAGACCGAGGTGCAGGCCCTGAGCAGGACTTGGAGCAAGTCTAGCCAGTGCTCGAGTGCAGCAGGGCATGAGAGCGAGCTGGAGAGCGGGAGGGAGGCGACCCCCACCTCGTCCTCGTCTCTCTCGTCCTGGCGCCCACCATGCTCAGCGCGCGAGATCAAGAGTGCCTCGCAGTGAGCTCAATATCTCTCGCACACCCAGCGCAGCAGTGCTGACCCGCTTGTCGCACCCATGCAGGTCCTTCGCGCGGTCCCTCCCCTCCTCTCGCCCGACCTCCCGTCGCTCCCTCCCTCTGCACTCGCCGCCGAGGCTGGCACGCTCAAGCGCAAGCGCGAGCCGAGCGGCGACTCGGCAACCCCGGCCGTCGGCCTCGGGCTCGAAGGAGCCGCACCTGTCGAGCAGCCCCCTCCCGCCGCGGCCAGCAAGTGCGTCCCTCCCTTCTCGAGTCACGGCGAGGCGCGCTACTGACTCTTGCGTGATCCACAGACGACCACGACCCGCTGCGCCTCCTCCACCGCCTCCTCCTGCACCTTCATCTCGCGGTCCTCCTGCACCACCTCCCCCTCCGCCGTCCGACCTGCGCGACTCGCCCGCGCTCGCCGCCGCCAAGCTCCCCGTCGTCAAGGGCTCGCCGGTCCTCGGCTCGTCGTCGATCTCGCGAGTCGACCGCGAGGCAGAGTGGAGGAAGGACTGGCCCAAGGACCGGTTGCGGAAACTCGCCGCGCAGTCCGTCCCTTCTTGTCCCTGCGACCCCTCCCGCGCACGCACTGACTCGCCTATAACCTGCAGGTGCCGCGACCACGGTCGCAAGCTCAAGCACGCCGGCGACGCCATCGGCCGTGCCTCGTCGCCCGGGCGCAAGGACGTCCTGCGCGCCCTCGCCCACCACGTCGACTCGATCCTGCTCTACGTCTTCAGCTTCTGGTGCGACGATGCGGCGAGTCGGGCGTGCAACGTCCAGCAGTGGGGCAGCATGTTTGGCCTGATCGCGTTCGTGCGCAAGATGGCCGAGCGCGAGAACGTCGCCGTCGTCGTGGGCATGTGGTGCGTCCCCTCTCGCCCAACGCCTTCCTCCCCCTCTTTCTACTCCTACTAACGCTCGAGTCTACAGCGCTCGGATGGAGGCGATCGCCGTCTACACGACGTCGATGCACGAGCAGAAGGCGCTCAACTTTACCGGGACGCAGCTCACCAAGGCCCACTCGTCGTCGACCGCCGCCCCGAGCGCGCGCCCTCCTCCACCTCCTCCCCCTCCACCTGGTCGACCACCTCCACCTCCCGGCCCGCCACCGCCGCCACCGCCGCCGACTGCTCCTCCCGCCGACGCACCTGCCGCCTCTCCCTCGTCCGGCGCGACCGAGTCGCCCGCCGCCGTTCCCTCGCCCGCACCCGCATCGGCCGCCCTCGCCAGCACTTCCTCGTCGTCCTCGTCAACGCCCACGTCCACCAAGGCGTACGACGACTTCCTGCGGTCGTTCCTGCGCGCGTCGCCCGACCTGTTCCGGCACCAGCGCCTGTACGACGACTCGTGCGCGCTCCTGTCGCCGGCCGTCCTCTCGACGTCGTTCCCGCGCACGTGGGCGCTGTGCACGCGCCCCGAGGAGCAGACGAGCCTGACGAGCTTTGTCGTCCCGGCGCGGCCGTGGCGGTTCGCGTGGCCGGCCGAGCTGGGGAGGGGCACGCTAGGGCACCAGGTGGCGTGGGCGAGGGCCATCTTGGAGGAGTGGAGCGAGAATGAGGGGCTTGGGTACGTGCCCGATGACGTTGGAGCCGGCGTGTGAAATGCAGCTGCTCGTCGACCGGCGTCCGCGGACTTTTGGGAGAGCAGCGCCTCGCCTCGAGAGCAGCTCGGGCCAGAGGTCGACGGCCGCTCTCGCCCTCACCTCACCTCGCCTGCTGCGAACGACTAGCTGCCATGCGTCAGAAACGTACCAAGGGCGCCCGCAAGGTCATGCAGCTCTACCAGAGCGCGTTCGGGTTCCGGTGCGTCCCTCGTCCGCCTTCATCTCCCTCGACGGCGAGCGGGCTTCCCACGCCCGTGTGCGTCTCTGCGTGCCTCGAGCGCACAGCTGACGTGCCTCTGCGCCCACAGTGAGCCGTACCAGCTCCTCAGTGCGTCCCCTCTTCTCCCCTCTCTCGGCCTCCTCCTCGCCGCCTTCGAGCGAGCTGACCTGGTCGCTACCTCCCCGCGCAGTGGATGCCGCATTTGTCCAGTCGAGCGTCAAGCAGAAGTTTGAGCTCATGTCGAGGCTGCACGACGTCCTTCAAGGTGTCGTCAAGCCCAGTGCGTCCTCTTTCCCTCCCCCTCCTTCTCTGCGGATTTCTCTGACCTCTCTCGCATTGCCCTCCTCGCGCACAGTGATCACCCAGTGCTGCATGCAGGCGCTGTACAACCTGGGCGAGGAGGCGCAGGACGTCGTCGACGTCGCCAAGGGCTTTGAGCGCCGCATGTGCAACCACCTCAAGGCCCGGCCCGAGGACGAGTGCTTGACCGCCATGGCCGGTGCGTCCTCCTCTCCCTCTCCACCTCGACGGCACGAGCTCACGCGTGCTCCCCTACACAGGCTCGGACAATCACAACCGCTACGTCTTTGCGACCCAGTCGCTCGCGCTCCGACAAGCCCTGCGCAAGGTGCCCGGCTCGCCCATCATCTACATCGCCCGGAGCGTGCTCCTCCTCGAGGCGCCGTCGGACCAGACGCTCGCCAAGAAGCACCAGGTGCGTCACCGCCTTCTTGTCGTCGGCGAGCGAGGCGAGGAGCTGCCTTCTCGCCTTGTCCGCCTTGTCCCAGGGCAGCGGCTCATTCACTGATCCACCTTTCCTCCCACGCGCACAGATGGAGACGGCCAAGCTGCACGTCTCGGCGCAAGAGCTCGCCGTCATCACGGGCAAGCCCATCACCTCCTCCGCACCCGAACCCTCGACCTCGACCTCGACCGCCACTGCCGCCGCCGACGCGCCCGCGCCCGACGCCGCGCCGAAAAAGCCGCGCAAGCCCAAGGGCCCGAAAGGCCCGAACCCGCTCAGCGTGCGCAGCAAGAAGAAGGGCGCTGCGCCTGGCGGCGGCGAGGCCGGCGGGCGGCCGCCGAAGAAGCGCGGCCGGGACGGCGAGGAGCACGACGGGGTCGATCGCGAGGCCGAGCGGGAGGGCAAGAGGAAGCGGGATGAGGAGAGCAAGGTGGCGAGCATGCCGACGAGAGGGGACGGCGAGGCGAGGAAGAAGCGCAAGCGGAGGAAGAAGGGCACGGCGGGAGGTGGCGCAGGTGGCGGCGAAGCAGGCGAGGGTGGTGGCGACGATGGAGGTGGGAGCGGCGACGAGTAGCTTCGTCGTGCAACTTTGCGAAAGCTTCCTCGCGCTCTCGAGCCGGACCGAGAGAGAGAGTGGAGCAAGTGCTTCTCGTCGTTACAGCGCGACGCTCGTCTAGCAAAGCTGCGGCCGCGTCTGCCCTCGCTCGTCTACGCTCCTCCGTCTACCAGCCTGCCGGCCGCGGGCACTTCTCGCCGCCGTCGCCCCTGAACACGGTCCGGAGCGAGTGCGGGCTCTTGGCCGGGCTCTTGCTCAGCGCTGCCGCCGCCGAGGGCGACGTCGGCGAGAGCGCGACGGCGCTGCCGTTGCTGTTCGAGTGCCCGTTGGTGAGCGGGATGGCGACAGGTGCGGCCGTGGGCGCGCCGAGCGGGCTCTGACCCGGACTCGGGAGCGCGCCGGGCGCCTCGACCGGGATCTCCTTGCCGTCGTGCGCCTCGTCGCCACCGCCAACCTCCTTGACGTGGCGCCCAAGCTCGGTCAAGATCTCGCGCCCGCCGCCCTCGACGAGCTCGCGCGCGACGTCGGCGCCGAGCTGCTCTGCGTCGTCGCGCGAGTGGACGCGGCGCGACAGGGTGCACATGACGGCGTGCGTGCCGCTGAGCGACGTGATGGTGCCCGTGAGGGTGAGCGTCGCGTGGTGCGTGAGCTCGTCGTCGGCGGCGGCGCCGGGGCAGTGCGGCGTGCGACCCGGGCGGTGCGTGCACGCGTGCAGCGGCGGGATCACCATGTCCTCGGCGCGCTGCGGCTGCGCGGCGCCGATGGGCGACACGGGCGACAAGGGCGAGCCGCCGGCGAGGTGTGGCGCGCCGGCGGACGGCGGCGAGAGGGGCTTGGCGCCGGGGAGCATGCGGCCCGTGACGGGGCACACGTGCGCCGGGTTGACGGCCGGGTGCCCGTCGGGAATGCCCGTCGTGTCGTCCGGCTCGGCGATGCGGTACGACGCGGCGGCCTGGGCCGTGGCGGACGAGGGCGGTGGGAGCGCGAACGCGGCGCTGCGGGGCGACATGGACAGCGGCGGGGCGTCGATGACCATCTCGGGGCTGACCGGGTTGGGCGGCGCGGCCGGGTCGCGCGTGACGCTCAGGCCGTGCGTGTCGGGCTTGAACTTGCCGCCGCTCGTCGTGCTCGTCGGCGACATGGACAGGACGGCGTCGTCGGGCGGCGGCGTGTCGCCCTCGCCGCCGCGGACAAAGACCTCGGTGAGGGTCGTCTCGCACCCGACGGGGACCGAGCACCCGCCCTCGAGGACGTGGAGCATCATGCGCTCGGCGCGCGTCGTCCAGCTCGTCTTCCAGCACTCGAGGCTGCCGATGATGTCGGACGAGCGCGCGTCGCCCTCGCGCACCTCGATCCCGATCGCGCCCTGCCCGACGGCGTGGTACAGCGAGGGGGACGTGACGGGCGCCGTGATGCGATGGCCGAGGTTGAGGCGGATGAGGCCGGCCGAGGCGAGGATGAGGGCCGTGTACGACGATGCCGGGTCGTCGAGCTTCTTGAGGCGAGTGCCGAGGTTGCCGCGCTGTCATGGTCGCTGCCGGGGTCAGAGACGGGGTACGAGAGAAGGAGGGAGAGAGGGAGAGAGAGGACGCACGACGTCGGCGAAGCGCAGGCCCGGGAACTTGCGGCGCAGCTGAGCGACGCGGCGCACCGAGCTCGTGCCGATGATGCTGCCCTCGGGCATCTCGGCGAGCGACGTGTACGGGAGACCCTCCTTGACGACGAGGGCGTCGCTCGGGTCTTCGCGCTCGAGGACGGCGCCGAGCTCACACCCGGGCGGGAATTCGGTCGGGACGTCCTTGAGCGAGTGCACGATGGCATCGACCTGGTGGTTCAGGAGGGCGACCTCGAGCTCCTTGGTCCACAGGGCTGCGGACGGGCGGGCGGGCACGAGTGAGCAGGAGGTCCGGGCGGACACGAGGGAGGAGGAGGGAGGGAAGGTCAACTCACCCTTGCCGCCGAACGTGTACAGCGGCTGCGTCTGCACGTTGTCACCAAGCGTCGTCTGTGCGCGTCGCCGGCTGCCCAGTCAGTTCGCGTCCGTGATCTGGCGTCCACGAGGTAGACGTGGGAGTGAGCGGGACGCACCATGCCAAAGATGCGGATCTCGCACCCAGGCCACCGCTGCTCGAGCTCGCGGCGGACAATCTCGGTCTGGACCTGTGCGCATGTGCGTAGAAGAGAGTCAGTGCGCCGCGACGTCGACTACACCACGGCGCTTGAGCGACCTTGGTCGCTCGCCGACGCCGCGGAAACGAGTGAGCGCGCGGACGCACCATGGCGAGTTTCGAGTTGCGGGTGCCGAGGGTAAAGACCTCGCCGGCGTACGGGTGTCCGGCCTCGTCCGGGGTGCGGCTCGGGCGACTCTGCGCGAGGAGGCTCATCGGGCACGCCGGGGGCGGCACGGTCGGGAACGACTGGGACGACGTGGTCGGGATCGGTGGGTGGTCTGGCGGGAGGGACGAGATCATGCTGGGCGCGGGTGGTTGTCGAAGTCGAGGCGGTCAGGCGGATGTTGGCGAGCGGCGGCGGCGTCGACGAGATGCCGGAAATCGAGCTGCGCTAGAGGGGCGGCGATGGGGGTGGCAGTCGAGGTGGACGTGCGCGTGCTGTCGTGAGCCGGCAGAGAGCAAGCTGTCGAGCAAGCGAGGCGGAGCGAGCTAGACTGTCAGAATCCGCAACTGTCCGCGTTCGGCGAGACTGAAGCGATCTCAAGCGCGGCTCACGCGCGCGCCACAGCCAATCGTGCCGTTTTCAACTGTCCACCGCGGTCACGCCGCCGAGTCGGGCACAGCGCTTTCTACGAGCCTCAGTCTCTCGCGAGGGTCACTTGTTCCGGCGAGAGTAAAGCAGGCGCAGCTGGAGGCGGGCCCCTCGACTCGGCTCGCGTGGTCAAGCTCGCTCTCGCTGGCCTCTGCTGCTCGCACGGGACGCGCCCTCCGGTGCGCGTTGCTCAAGCGGCATCGACACACGCGCCATCGACGCTCGCAAGAGAGAGAGAAACACGACGAGTCCATTGCGACGTCCGACACCCGGTCCAGCGAGCGCGCACGCAGGCTAGTGGTCCCACGGGTGCTTCATGCCCTGCGAGATGCGTAGCAGGGGAGGTAGGGGGCAATGGTCGCGGTCAGCCGTGCTCGAGCCGAGCCGAGGTCGAGCCAGGAGGGGAGCGCGACAACGAGGGAGGGGGGAACGCACGAGGAGGACGGCGCCGTCTTGCCGTGCGCGGTAGAAGATGAAGAACCACATGCTGGCGCCGAGCATCTTTGCGCCGAGGCGGTACCCGAGGCCTGGCGAGTGCGAGACGGGTCAGCGATGAGAGCGGAGGAGGACGGAGGGCGAGGGGGAGAGGAGGGGAGCTGGGCTCACCGGGGAGGTGAGGGTGGAAGCCTCCTGCGGGGCGTGCGTGTGCTGCGCCGGCCATCTTGTTGCGTCGAGGTGTGGGAGGACGAGAGCGACGAGGCGCCGAGCGATGAAGCCCTCTTGCCCTCGACCACCTCGTCCTCGGGCCCAGCCGAGCGAGACGCGCACCGCCAGCACCTCAAGCAGTGCCCTACAGCCGCCATGCGCTCCCTCACCGTCCTCGCCGCGACCTTTGCGCCCCTCTCCTCCTCCTCGACCTCGTCGACCGCAAGCTCGACCTCGACCGCACCGCCCGCCGTCCTCGCTGCTACCGCTGTCGACCCGGCCTCCGATATCACCTACGCCGTCGCCGTCGCCCGCCCCGATGGCCCCGACGGCGAGGCTCTCGTCGAGGTGCACCGCCTCGCAGACCGCTCCCAGGTGCGCTCCCTCCTCCTCCTTCTCTCGACCGTCTCGCTCGAGCCTGCCACTGACCCACTCGAATCGACTCGTCCTCACACAGCCCGCAACCCTCCTCACCTCGTTCTCGTCGCCGCCAAGCCCACCCACGCGCGCGCTCGACCCGGCGCACCCGTTCGTCGTCTCGTTCAAGTACCTCGCAGACGACGACGCGCTCGCGCTCGTGCTCGCCAACGGCGAAGTCGAGCAGGTCTTCCTCGACGGCGGGGCGGGACCAGTGAGGGTGAGCTCGTCGGTTTTCTGCCGGCTCGAGGCCTGAGCCTGCCTCGGCAACTCGCACTGACGCTGCCTCCCTTGCCTCCCTCGCCCTGCCTTTGTCCCCCTCGTGTAGCGCGAGAACGTCGGCACGTTCGACTCGGGCATCGCAGCCGCCGAGTGGAGCCCGGACGAGGAGCTCGTCGCCATCGTCACCGGTACGCCTTTTCTCTCTCTACTTCAGCGCCTCCTTCCCCTCCATTGTGAGCAGCCTCGAGACCTCGCACTGACCTCCTTGCATTCCTCGACCTTCCTGCCCTACCACCTATCCACCCGCCCGCCCGACAACCACAGGCGACTTCCAGCTCCTCCTCCTCACGCGCACCTTCGACCCCCTCTCCGAGGCGCCCCTCCACACCGCCTCATTCGGCGCCGACGCCCCCGTCTCGGTCGGCTGGGGCACCCGCACGACCCAGTTCCACGGCTCGATGGGCAAGACGGCCGCCGCCGCCGCCGCGCAAGCCGACCCGCTCGCCGTCCCCTGGCTCCGCTCGCACGCCGACGACGGCCGCGTCCGCATCCGGTGGCGCGGCGACGGCGCGTGGCTCGCCGTCTCGAGCGTCGAGTCGACGCCCGCCGACCACGGCGGCGGCGACGGCGCAGGTGCGCGCGACTTGCGGCGGATCCGCATCGTGAGCCGCGTCGGCGAGCTGAGTTCGACGAGCGAGCCCGTGCCCGGGCTCGAGGGCGCCCTCGCGTGGATGCCGAGCGGCGAGTTGATCGCGGCGACGCAGCGGCGCGTCGTCGACGAGGCGACCGGGCGCGAGGACGTGCGCGTCGTCCTCTTTGAGCGCAACGGGCTGCGCCGCGGCGAGTTTGACGTGCGCGAGGGAGAGGGCGCGAGGAGGGCGAGAGTGCGCGAGCTCGAGTGGAGCGCCGGGAGTGACGTGCTCGGCGTGTGGGTCGAGCGCGAGGACGAGCAGGGCATCGTCGAGCATGTCGGTGCGTCCTCCTTTCTCTGTTCCCCTCCCTCTCTCGCCTCTGCGGCCCTCTTTCGATCCTACCTGTATCTCGCGACCAGGCTTCGCGCTCGAGCCCAAGCCCGACCAGGTCACTGACGTCGAACCTCTCCCGGATGCCCCCCTTCCCTCGACCTCGCCGCGCCGCCCGTCCAGTCCAGCTATGGCACCGCTCCAACTACCACTGGTACCTCAAGCTGTCGCTCTCGCCCTTCCTTTCCTCGACCTCGTCCGCCGCAACCGCCGCACCGCACCTCTCGCTCGAGTCGCGCGGGTTCGCGTGGCACCCCGAGAAGGCGCACTCGCTCGCGCTCGTGACGCCGAGGGGCGCGCATGCGTACGAGCTTTCGTGGGACACGTACAGGAGCGAGCGGGCGGCGCCGATGGACGACGGGACGGTCGCCGTCGTCGATGGAGGTGTGTCTGCATCTCGCTTGCCCTCGTCACTTCGGCCGCGCGGCCCATCCTCTGCGTCGCTGATTCGTCCGCGTAGTAGGGCATGCAGGCACTGACTCGCTCCTCTCCACAGCCGACATCAAGTTGACGCCGTTCCGGCTGCAGAACGTGCCGCCGCCGATGTGCGCCATGACGCTCGGCTCGCCCACGGCGTCGACGTCGCGCCCGCCGGCGCACATCGCCTTCGCCCCTTCCCTTCCCACCACGACCGCCTCGTCCTCATCCCTCCCTCCCTCGTCGGTCACCGCCTCGACCTCGATCACCTTCCCTCCTCTCCTTTTCGCCACCCTCTATCCCTCGACGCCCACTCGCCCCGCACGCGTCGAGCTCTACGCCTGGGCGCTTCCGCTCTCGGGCTCGGCGCAGGCCAACGCGCGCGCCGGCCTCCCCGAGCCGCAGCTGCGCTGGTCCGTCGACTTGCCGGCCGAGGTGCGCGGCGTGCGGCAGTGCGCTGTGCGCGCTCTCGGCGGCGATGCGGCTGAGGTGGATAAGGAGGAGGCGGTCGTCGCTGTGCTGGGCGAGGACGGCGAGGGCGAGGTGGTCGTTGTCGTTGGCGAGGGGGGCGTGCGCGGCGTCAAGCGCGTGCAGGAGGGCGCGAGGAGGCTCGTCGCCGCGGCGGCCAAGTCGCACGAGGCGAGCGGGGACGAGGGAGCAGAGGAGAGTGAGGGTGAGGGGGAGCAAGAGGACGAGGGCGCGTTCGTGCTCGAGACGAAGGATGGCGAGATCCTCGAGGGTGCGCCCGACTTTCCCTGCCCTGAGCCCGGCCGGGTCGGCGACACTGACTCTCGACGCACACAGTGTCAGCGAGCGGCACCGATGTCGACTTTGCCGTTCCCTCGTCGACCCTGTCGCCGTTGCCCGAGTTCTGCCCGCACATCTCGCACCTCTTCCTCCCTCCTTCTTCCCCTAGTTCGACCTTCCGCATCCCGTCCCTCGTCGGCCTTGCACCCTCGGGCCGGCTGTACGCCTCGTCCCGCCTCATCGCGTCCGACGCATCCTCGTTCGCCCTCACCGACACGTTCCTCATCTACACGACCTTTTCGCACGAGGCCAAGTTCGTCCCGCTCGCCCAGCTCTCGGCGACCGAGCACAGCGAGTCGTTCGCGCGTCGCGCTCTCGACGGCGGCGGAAGCGCGAGTGCAGCCGCCCCGGGCGCGGCCGGCGTCGTCCAGCGCGCGGTCGAGCGAGGGTCCCGCATCGTCGCCGTCGTGCCGAGCGCCACATCGCTCGTCCTGCAGATGCCGAGGGGCAACCTCGAGACGATCTGCCCGAGGCCGCTCGTGCTCAGGGTCGTCAGGGCGCTTCTTGATCAGTGCGTCCGCCTCTCGCTCGATCTGCAGCACGCGCCACAGGGCCAGGCTCGTCCTGGGTCCGAGCGGCGCGTTCGTGTGACCCGTCCAGGAGCTCACACAGACCTTACCATCTACAGGCACCGCTACCGCGCCGCCTTCCTCCTGTGCCGGCGCCACCGCATCGACCTCAACCTGCTCCACGACCACGACCCGGCCGCATTCGTCACCAACCTGCACGACTTTGTGTCGCAGGTCCGCGACGTCGACTTCCTCAACCTGTTCCTCACCGGCCTCAAGGACGAGGACGTCACGGCGACCATGTACCGCCCGCTCGTTGCCCGCTCGAGTGCGAGGTGCGCTCAACTTCTCTTCCTCTTTCCGCCTCTCCTACCTCGTCCTCCCTCCTGCCTCGACCGTCTCTCCCACCGCGTCGTCCCGGACTGACGCTCGACGGCCCGTGCGCAGCCCTGTCGACGCGAGCAACAAGGTCAACCGGATCTGCGACCTCGTTCGTCACGACCTGCAGGAGCGCGGCGACATGTTCCACTGGGCCAACACGATCCTCACGGCGCACGTGCGCAAGCGTCCGCCTGCGTACGAGGACGCGCTCAACGTGCTTGTCGGCCTCAAGGGTACGTCGGCCTGCTTCTCCGGCCCCTCTCCTCCCTCGAGACAAGCACCTGACGTCGCCACGGTCGATCAACGTACAGCCCAAGACCCGGAGCGCGCAGAAGACGCCGTCAAGTACATCATCTTCCTGAGCGACGCCAACAAGCTGTTCGATCTCGCGCTCGGCATGTACGACTTCCCGCTCGTCCTCATGGTGGCTCAGCAGTCGCAAAAGGTGAGGTCTCATCTCCCTGAATCGGCCTCCTCTTCATCTACGAGGGCCGTCATTGACTCATCCGCCCTCTCGCCGTGTAGGACCCGCGCGAGTACCTCCCCTTCCTCCGAGCCTTGCGCGCTCTCCCGCCTTCCTTGCAGCGCCACCGGATCGACGACCACCTGGGGCGACACGCCTCGGCCCTGCGCAACCTCGCTCAAGCCGGCGACGAGCACTTTGACGACGCCGTACGGTATGCCGCCAAGCACGCGCTGTGGGAGGTCGCGCACGAGGTGTACGAGGCCGAGCCGAGCAAGCACGAGGTGCGTTGTGCACGAGAGCCTCTGAATCGGATCACCGACCCGTCACAGGCGTACCAGTACTCAGATTGCGCCTCTTGCGCCTCGCAGACCATCCTGTGCGCGCACGCCGAGGACCTGTTCGACAAATCCAACTACCCCGAGGCCGCTCTCCGTCCGTCCTCTCCCTCTTTCTCGTCTTCTCTCGCGCACAGAACCCTGACGAGATCTCGTCCTTGACCCAGTGTTCCAGCTCGGCAACGAGCCCGAAAAGGCGCTCCTCGCCTATCAACGCGCCAACTTGTGGCGCGAGCTCTTCACGCTCGCGCGCTCCTCGGGCATCGTCGACGACGACGCCGTCAAGGAGCTCGCGGCAGATGTTTCAGGTGCGTCGGCGTCGTTCACCACTTTCAGGTTGTTGGGCAGTGCATGATGGGCGGGTCGACCTGACCTCGTTCCTGGCCCCGCTGCAGAAAGCCTCTCGGGCAAGAGGCGCCATGCCGAGGCGGCGCAGGTCCTCCTCGAGTACGGCGAGGACGTCGATGGTGCCGTCTACTACCTCTGCGAGGGGTCGCTGCACAGCGAGGCAGTCCGCACTGTGCGTCTGCCCTTCCTCCTCCAGCCGCCCGTCCGTCCTCTGACAGTGAGCCTTCCTTCCCGACAGGCAACCCTGCACGACCGCCTCGACCTCGTCGCCTCGCGCGTCAAGTCGAGTACGCTCGAGCTGCAGCAGCGCCTGCTCGACGACTTTTCCGAGATGGACGAGCAGCTCGACAAGCAGATCTCGCGACTGGGCGAGCTCAAGACCAAATACGAGGAGAACCCCTGTGCGTCTCTCCTCCCTGCTCCATCTTCTCAAGGACGGTATCTTGACGACGTCGTTCGCGCAGACTACTACTTCTGCATCGACGACCCGGCGGCGGCTCTCGAGAATGTCGAGCTCGCGCCCGACGGCATGTCCGACGCCGGAACCGCCTTCACTCGCTACACCGTCAACCCGACGACACTCGCGAGCAGTACTCGGAGGAGCTCGTGCGTCGCCTCGTCCCCCTTCATCTCCTCCCGCGCAGGACGTCCCCTGACCGACAGCCTCGTCGGCCTTTTCCGCACGCAGGAAGACGGCGAGCTCGCGTCGCCGTGCGGCGCTCAAGCGTGTGGCGGGCAAGAAGGGCACCGTCTACGAAGAGATGTACCTGCTCAACTCGATGAAGAAGGCGGCCGAGGTCAAGCTCGCCGAGCTTCAGAGTGCGTCCCGACTTTCCTCCTTTTTCTCTCTCTCACGTCGCCGCAGCTAGACACTTCCTGACCCATGGCATCCTCTGCAGCCGAGACGGCGACCCTCCTCCCCGTCCTCCTCACCCTTCGCTCCCCGCCTCACCGCTCCGCCGCCCTCGAGCTGCACTCGTCCCTCGCCTCGCTCGAGTCGACCCTCGCCCGCGCCATCTCGACCGTGTGGGACCCGCTCGAGTCGACCTGGGCCGCCGAGGGCGCCGAGGAGCAGCGCGTGCGCGATTCGGGCGACCCGGTGCGGCTCGCCGAGTGGGAGCAGAGGCCGAGGGCGGTCGAGGGCGAGCACGAGACCAAGAGGGTCGCGCGGCCAAAGATGGCGAGGGAGAAGTGGAGGCTGGGCATGCTCGAGAGGAGCGCGTGAGGGCGCAGTAGATTGATGCGTGCTCGTGCAAGGACGACGTACAACAGCTTCCACGAGAGCTCAGAGTCGAGGAGGTCCGAGGCCCGGGTGCTCGCAGCTCTCGTCCCAGATCGCCGCTTTATCCAGTATTCTCCCTCGTGAATGCTTCGCATGCGTAGCCGAGTCGAAAGCAGCGAGCCAAGCGACAGCGCAACTCGACCTCGTCGCGGCCGAGCACCGCCTCCTCCCCTCTTCCCCCGACAACCTCGCGCCTGGCCCACACCGCGCCAAAGCACGATGCAGACGCTCGCCGAGCTCCCGCCACTGCCTCACTACGCCTCGCTCAAGCCCACGCCGCGCTCGACGCCCGCCATCGCCGCCCTCGAGGCGACCATCGGCTCGCTGTACCGCGTCACGGTCGCCCACACCTCGCGCCAGTTCCTCGGCACGTTCGTGTGCATCGACCCGCAGGGCAACCTCGTCCTCGACGCGGCGCTCGAGCTCGAGCTCGACAGCGAGGGGAGGGTCGTCAGCGACCCGCGCGGGCGAGATGTCGGGCTTGTCCTCATTCAGCGCAGGTGGTGGACCAAGGTCGAGCGGCTCAAGTCGGACGAGGAGCTGAGGGATGAGCTCGTGCGGGCGCAGCAGGCCGAGGCGCAGGGCTGTGCGCCGTCGTGAGCGGGTGATCACGCGACTGGGCTCGGAAGCAGGTGCGCTACCTTCTCTCTCTATGGGCGCGCTCGCTGTGGCAGAGCAATCGTCTGACACTGTATGTACTGCAGGACACGATAAACGCCGACGCGGCACCAAGGCCTGCCGACACCCGCTCGACGACGCGCCGACCACAACCGCCCCACCGCCTGAACCGCCGCGCCGTCGCCCAAACCGGCAGTACGACCTCTCCTGCGCCAGCTCGCCTTTCTCGTCGAGCTCGCCGACGAGACGGCAGGCGTCATCGCTTTCGAAGCGCGGCGCTCGTCGACGGCCGAGGAGGGTGCGGGAGCGAAGACTGGCTCTCAAGTACGGTGCGAGACGGCACGCCGGTCGCTCGACGAGCAGAGCGGGCACGATGGCACGAGATACGTTGTCGGGGCGGAACTGGTCGTGCGAGGAGTGCAAGGGAGACCGTGCGCCGTCGAGTCGGGTCGAGCGAGGCGAGCGAGTCGACACCGGCCTCTCTTTGTCAGCTTTCCTCTTCTCGTCGGCCTCGCGAGCAGTTCAGTGCGCGCTCGTCTGCATCGTGCGCATATGTTCTGGTCGACGAGGGCGCGGGCGCAGCGCCGCGGAGGACGAGGCGGGACCGCGTGGGCGAGGGACATCGCGACGAGGCTCGACCGAGCGCGTCCTCTGTCTTCCCCTCTCTCCCTCCTCCCACACCGCACTCCTTCGTTCCTCCACCTGTACTCTCGCCCACACGCCCACGCCTTGCGCACGCTCGCCATGAGCGACCGCCCCGTCGCGCCCGCCGTCCCCGACGTCTTCTCCTCGCCCTCGCCTCCTCGCTCGCCTCCTCCCTCAACCACCACGCCCTCATCCGCCAACGAGCCACCTTTGCTCGTTCCCGTCACGCTCGACTGGGTCGACGCGAGCGCATCAAGCGTCGGTGACGACCAGGCGCTGCAGCCGCCCGACGACCAGGACGACTCGGTTCGCTCGGGTGCGTCTCCCTCCCCTCAGCCTCCTCTCCTCGCCGCATGCACTGACTCTTGGTCGCCTATTCGGCACGACAGGGAGCCCGCAGGACCCGGGCCAGCAGCGCGACGTCTTCCCCGAGTTCCGCCCTCGCCCGTCCACCCCGTCGGCCTCGCCTTTGGTCCCGCAGCACGTCGGTCGTCCCTCGGTCGCACCGAGCTCCGCCTACGGCAACCCGTTCCGCACACCTGTCAAGCCCGGCGCGAGCGAGCGCTCCAACCTGTCGCCCGAGTCGCCCAGCTTCAACCCGGTCGTCGGCTCGTCCTCGTCCGGCACGACCCCGACCCGCCTCGAGCCGCCGTTCAAGCCCGTCTTCCGCTTTGACCAGCTCGCCAAGTCGTCGTCGGACCCCGCGACGCCGTTGCGCTTCTCGGCGTTCGAGCACGGCTCGCCGTGGACGCCTGACCGCGTCAAGCCGATGGCGGCCCCGTCGCCGTGGACGTGGCCGCCTCGCAACCCCAAGCCCGACGAGGACCTCAAGCTACACTACCGCGAGCCCGTCGTCCTGTCGATCGACCGCCCGTCGAGTCGCCAAGTCGACGAGGGCACGCCGACCAAGGTCGGCCGCTTCGCCTCTTCCTCGTCTTCCCTCCTCGTCGACTCGCCCTCGCCGCGCCAGTTCGATTCGACCGCTGCTCCTGTCGCGACGCGCTACGTCCTCGTCGAGGGCCTGAGGCGCGACCTGAGCGAGACGGACCTGCGCGACATGCTCCTGGTGCGTCTCGCCTCCTCTTCCTCGTCGATGCGAGGCCTTGTGCTCGACGCGCACGCCCTGACACTGTCTACCTCTCTCCTCGCAGTCCCGTTGCGCCGGCCTGAGTGCCCGTGGCTGCTACAGCGCCCGCCTGCGCGTCCACGGCGAGGCCGTCCTCTTCTTCCACGACGTGCGCCACGCCGTCGCCGCGGCACGCCTCGTCCAGTTCGACCAGTCGGGCCAACTCGCGCTCAAGGCGAGGTGCATCACGCGCAAGGCCTTCGAGCAGGTGCGTCCCCTTTCTCTTTCTCCCGACTCTCGACCTTCCCAAGTGCCGTCGACTGACGCCTTGCGTCTGTCCCGCAGCTCGTCGGCCACGGCCAGGCGGCGGCGGTCCTCTCTCACTCGGAAGGTGTCCTCGCCCTGACGCTCAACGGCACCCCGACCTCGTCGCCGGCGCTCGCGCCCGTCTCGCTCCTCGCCCAGTTCGGCGAGGTCCGTGCGCTCAAGGTCGTCGAGGAGCGCTTCCACGTCGTCGAGTACTGGGACGATCGGGCAGCAGAGCGCGCGCACGACGTCCTCGACGGGCGCGAGCAGGGTGGAGCGAGGTTCGAGTGCAGCTTCGAGCCCGACGTCGCCGTGCGTCCTCGCCCTCCTCTCGAAGAAACTTTCGTCGCGCCCGGCCTGACTCGCCTCTTCCCTCGCAGAGCACCGACCCGCCCTCGTGGACGACGACCGCGACTGCGACGACCTCGAAGAACGTTGCTGCGCCGCTCGACCCGTTCTTCCCGCCGACGCCGGTCGCGACGCCCAGGTCGACCACGAGCTTCGACCTCGCCTACCTGTCGCCGCCGGCGCCCTCGTCGAGCTTCAGCTTCAGCTCGGCCGCCTTCGCCGAGCCGTTCACGCCCTCGTCAGCGCCGGGCTCGTCGCTGTCGCGCTGGACGACGTCGCGCCCGCCCGTCGAGCCCGCCGGCTTCCTCCACCTCGGCCCATCCTCGCCGCCGCCGCCGCCTCTGTACCACCAGCAGCACTCTTCCTTCACCTCGTCGGTCCACCCTCTTCCCTCGTCCACCTCGGCGCCCTCGACCGCCATCGCCGTCGGCCCTCGCGTCGCCGCGACGCGCCCCGCCTGGCCCGTCAAGCACCGGTCGCACGTCGGGCAGGAGTACGGCATCGTGCGCGACGACCGCATCCCGGCGAGCAACGTCCTCAACTTTGAGCGCATCGAGCGAGGTGCGTCGGACTGTCCGCCTGCGTGTCAGCTCTGCCGGGCGTCCCCCTCGGCAACGCGCTGACTGGTCGTGTGCGTTGAAGTGGATGCAGGCCTCGACGTGCGCACGACGGTCATGATCAAGGTGCGCCCTCGCGTCCGCCCTCTCGTTGCGCTCGACCCCGAGCCGTCCTGACGCCTCGAGTGTCCGCGGCGGCCTCCGCGCACGCAGAACATCCCGAACAAGCTCAAGGACTACGAGGTCATGTCGTTCATCGAGGAGGTGCGTCGCCCTCTCTCACTGTGCTCGTCTTCCGCAGACCTCGACTGACCGAGCTTCCCTGTCTCGCAGGTCGTCGGTCGCTCGTTCGACTTCTTCTACTTGCGCACCGACTACTCGAATGTGCGTTGATGACTCTCTCTCGGTTCGCCCTTCTCGATGTTCTCGAGGAGTCGAAGCTCACCGCGTTCGTCGCACGCAGGACTGCAACGTCGGCTGTGCGTCGTCGTGCCTCCCTCGCCCTCTCTTTCGGCCCTCGACTGACCTTCCTCGTCTTCTTCCCCTCGTGCGCCCACAGACGGCTTCTGCAACTTCACGTCGACGTCGGCCCTGCTCGCGTTCGCCAAGGCCCGTCTCGGCACGCGCTGGAACCTGTGCGCGTCCGACAAGCTGTGCGTCCTCAGCTACGCCAACATCCAGGTGCGTCGGCGGGCACGTTCTCTCCCTATCTGTCTCAGCCCCCTCGCGAGTTGCCAGACCGACCGGGTGGGGCGTTCTCACCGCCTGACGCAGGGCAAGGCATCGCTCATCAACCACTTCCGCAACTCGTCCGTCCTCGACCAGGCCGAGAGCCGGCGCCCCAAGCTCTTCGTCACGAGCGGGCCTCGCGCCGGTGAGCCCGAGCCCTTCCCAGGTGCGTCCACGCCCTCTCCTGATGTCAGATGTCGCCTCTCTCCGAGGGTCACGCCTGACTGCCAGGATGGGATCGAGCTCGCAGTTTGCGACGACCCGGTGCGCAAGGCGCGCTCGGCGCTCAACGCCTCGAGCGTCGGGCTCTTCCCGGCGCAGCGGCCCGTCTTCAAGCTCGCGCAGGCGTTCCAGGGCGCCAGCCTCGACGAGCCGTCGTCGTCGGCGTCGGCGTCTTGAGCGACGCGTCCCTGTCTTCCTTCCCCATCTCTCTCCTTCCTCCCGTCCTCCCACCTTAGCCAGTCGTCGTCTGTCCTTCCTCTCCCACCCTTGTACCCCTCCCCTCGCGCTTGTACCCTCGTCTGCTCCCTGCCTGTCTCGCCCTGTCTCTCGCCTCGCCTCGCCTCGTCTCGCTTGATCCTTCCCTCCCTCTTCGACCTCTTCCCTCGCTCTCTTTCCCTCTTCTCTCTATCCACACTCTCTTTCACTCCCGTCACTGTTTCGGACCCGTCGCTTGATCGTCTGTAGCTCCCCCTCTCCTCTCCCTCGTAGTCTGCCCCCTGTCGTCGGAAATCGCAGGCCCGCTTTGACCTCCTTTCTCGCGGCGTCTCTCGCGAGCGGCTCGCTCGAGATCTCGAGGCGCATCGACCTCGGCGTCTCTGTCTGTCTCTCGCAGTCTGTCAGCCTCGCGAGCTCTCGCGGAGAAGAGGCCGACGAGAGAAGGGAAGCCGCGAGTTGCACTTGGCGAAGGTGGGAGAAGAGAAGGAGGGCGAGGAAAGGGGAAGCTACAAAGCGCGCCCGTGCCCCGTCGAGGGGCGGCCGAACGGGCGCGAGCGCACGCAAAGGTGACGAGGAAAGAGAAGAGAGAGAGAGAGAGACACAGGGAGAAAGAGAGAGAGAGAGAAAGAGAGAGAGAAAGAGAGAGAGGGACGGGCAGAGAGGGAGGGACGCGAGGCAAAGCGAGGACGGGGAACGTGCGGGGAGGGGAGGGCGCGCTAGGCTGAGGGAGGGGAGGGAGACGATGGTCGAGAGGGAGAAAGGGAGAGAGGGTGAGAGGAAAGAGGGCGAGGTGGGCCTACCACGGCATGTCGGGCGGGATCTCGCTGTGCAGCGCGTTCTCGAGTCCTCGGAGCTGGACGCCGGCCTGTGTGTGTGTCGCCGCAACAGCTGTGCGTCAGTACGACGGGAGCTCTCTCTCGACGAAAGCGACGACGTCCGAACGAAAGTCGAGCGAAACGGGGGGCCGAGGCGCACCTTGCGCGGCACGTCAGCCGTAACGCGGTTGTTGCCGTGGAGGAACACGATCCGGAGCTTCTTGCATCGTCCGAGGAGCGCCTGGACGACAAAGTTGTCGGTCGCGCGCACAAAGCTGAGGTCGACGACCTCGAGGTCGGGCGCGAGGCGCGCAAGGTCGTCCGAGAGGATCGGGGCGTCGAGCTCGTCGCACGAGTGGAGCGACAGGTTGCGCAGGGTGCGGCCCGAGTGGGCGAGGAGGGCGCGCAGGGCGAGGGGCGAGAGCGAGCCGAGGCGGTGCAGGTTGAGGGTGTGCAGGCCGGGCGAGGACCATGGCGTCGCCTCGACGAGAGCGGCGCCCGGCGTCTTATCGCTGTCGACGCCCGTGGCGCTCTCGGCGCCCTCGACCTCGCGCTCGCGCTCGCCATCGGTCGCCGCCTCGCCGTCTGCGGCACCGGCGCCCGCACCCTCACCGGCCTCGCCGCCCTTGTCCTCGCCCGTCGGCGGCGCCGGCGTCGCGCCAAACAGGACCTCGACGCCCTCGGTGTGCACCTCGACGCAGTCGGCGAGGCTGAGCTTCTTGAGCTGGCCGCAGTACGGCTTGACGCCGTCGACGAGCACCTTTTCGGTCAAGAGCTCGTTGCCGTCGAGCGTGAGGCTGACGAGCCCTGTGCCGACGTGCGACAGGAGCGCGACGACGTCGTCGTCCTCGAGGACGTGGCCCTGGGGCGTCCCGAGGCGCGCGAGGTCGAGCGACGCGAGGTGGCCCCCCGGCGCCGCCGCCGAGAGCGGGTGCAGCGCCGCGAGCGACGCGCTCGTGAGGCGCCCGAGCTCGGCGAGCTGGAGCGTGACGAGCGACGGGCTGTGCGCGATGAGGGCCGCGAGCGACGCGTCGTCGAAGCCTGCGGACGGGCGAGGGGCGTCGTCAGTCAGGCATCGCAGGAGAGAGAGAGGGAGAGAGAGGGGACGCACGCGACGACATGCGCAGCTCGAACGTCTCGAGCTCGGGGCGGTCCGTGCCGCACTGCGACAGGAACTCGACCCACTTGTTGGCCGTGACGAGGTACGGGGCTGCGCGGTCCGAGAGGGACGTCATCGGGTCAGTCGCCGGAACGGGGACGGGATCCGAAAGGCACTGCGAGCGCGACGACGCACCGTACAGCGAGAGGTGGCGCAGCTCCTTGAAGCCGTTGCGCCACGCGTCGATGACGTCGTCGTCGAGGCGGCCGCACAAGTTGAGGGCGAGGCGCTCGAGGTGCGGGCAGAAGACCGAGATCTGGGCGAGGTCCTGGTCCTTGACGACTGTGCGCGAGTGGGCGACCATCACGGATCAGCTCGCGTTCCTCGCCGTGACGAGGACGAGGACGACGAGGCGATTCATGGAAGGACAGCTCGGGACGCACGGGTGCAGTCGTACAGGCGCAGCTCGCGGTGGCCGACCTCGAGGAACAGCTTGAGGTTGTCGCCCGTCAGGGCGCGGTTCTTGCACAGGACCTTTGCGACGCGGTCGAGGTTCTTGAGGCCGATGTCGCCGAGCGCCTCGATGTCGGTCGCGTACTGGCCGACGACCTGAGGTGGGAGGGCGAGAGCGAGTCAGTCGACGTTCGAGCGCGCGCGCAGGTCGAAGCGAGGAGAGAGAGAGGAAGGGAGAGGAGAGGCTGGGGGACGCACGGCGAGGCACGTCTGCTGGAGGGTCGGGACGGGCGTGTACAGCGTCTCGAGCTCTGCGCGCTGCGCCTTCTTCTTGGGCGGCTTCTTTGCGGCGGCGGCCGCTTTCGACGCCGACGGGAACGACGCGCGGTCCTCGATCGACTCGGTCGTGCACGGGGCACACAGGACGCCCGCGCCGTGAGGGTTGCTCGCCGTGTACTGCGGGCGGGCGCGCGTTCGCTCGTCAGGACCCCTCTCGTCGGCGCACGCAGGAAGGAGAGAGTGGACGGGGGGGTGGGGGCGCACCTTGGAGACGGTGAACTTTTTGCCGCACTCTGCGCAGACGGCGATGCTGCCCGGCAGGCGGTTCTCGTACCGGCCCTTCTTGGGCGCCGAGTGGGGGACGCCGGCGAGGTTAAAGTCGTCGCCATCGACGTCGGGCTTCTTCTTCTTGTGCTTCTTGGCGGTGGCCGAGGCTGTGTCCTTGCCCTTGCGCTTCTTGGTCGACGACGAGGCGGTCGAGGGCCCGGCCTCGGCGTTGGCGTCGGTCGAGGGTGGGACCGAGGCGGTGACGGACGACGAGGACGAGGCGGCACCGTCTGGAGCGGCGGCAGTGAGGCGGACCGAGGTCGAGATCGAGGCGTCGTCGGTGTCGTCGTCGTCGTCGCTGTTGGCGGCGGTGGTCGAGGCGGTGGTGGTGGTGGTGGTGGTGGCGTCGGTGGAAGGGGTGGGTGCGGGACGGCGGTTCGAGTAGTTGAGGCGGGCGTTGTTGCCCGTGATGCCTTGCTCCTGTGTGGGGTGCCGGGGGGGGGCAGGGTCAGGCTCGCGTGCGTGCGTGCGTGTGCGGGCAAGGGAGAGGGAGGGAGCGAGTGCGCACGCGGAGGAACGAGGTGAGGGCCGAGCGCGGGCCGGTGACGGGAGCAGACGAGCCACCCTGGGCGGTGTCGTGCGTGTTGCGCCTGCGCGGGGGCATCTTGTGCGGGTAGGTAGGCTGAGGGAGAGGAGGGACGAGATGAGTTGACATCGCTCTCGTCCTCGTGCCACTCACTCGCTCTCCATCGACCAGGCTCAAGGAGACCATGGCCTTCCTGTGGGGTGCCAGTGCCCAGCAGCAAGAGTGGGACCAGCTCATCGGTGCGCCTCGCTCCCCCTTGTCCTCCTCCTCCTCCTCCTCCTCCCTCCCCGCCCCACCCCGCGTCACCCAAGCCGAGCCAACCCTCCCTCGCTACCTGCGCCCGCCAGTCTCCTGCATCTTCATCGCCAACACCCTGCACTCCCTACTGACCCGCTCGACCCCCGCACAGACAAGGCCACGTCGGACCTCCTCCCCGCCAACTCGCAGGTCGACCTCCCCGACGCCCTCCACCTCGCCGACCTCCTCCGCTCGGCCCAAGTGCCCCCGCAGCACGCCACCGCCTCGCTCGTCCACCGCCTGCGCCACCAGAACCCCAACGTCCAGCTTCTCGCCCTCGAACTCGCCGACCTGTGCGTAAAGAACGGCGGCACCCCGTTCCTCGTCGCCTTCAGCCGCGGCGCCGCCGACAACGGCGCCGCTGCCGAGCTCGAACTCCTCGCACGCGGCGTCAGGGCCGGCGGCGGCGTCCACCGCGACGTCAAGGAGCGCGTCCTCGCCCGCCTCCAGGACTGGGCCACGGCCTTCAAGGCCAAGGCCGGCCCCTCGTCGTCGTCGTCGTCGGCCTCGCAGCTCGCCGACTCGGAGCTCGTGCGCGTGTACGACCGCCTCGTGCGCGAGGGCGTCCAGTTCCCGCCGCGCGACCCGACCGCGACCGCCGCCATGGTCGACTCGCTCTCGGCGCCCGACTGGGCCGACGCCCCGTACTGCACCCGGTGCCGCACCGACTTTTCCACCTTTAACCGCAAGCACCACTGTCGCAATTGCGGCCACGTCTTTGACGCCCAGTGCTCGTCGGGCTCGGCACCGCTCCCGCACTACGGCATCCTCGAGCCCGTGCGCGTGTGCGACGGGTGCCTCAAAAAGGTCCGCGAGGGCAAGGGCGCCTCGGTCGTCACGGCGTCGTCGGCGTCGTCGGCGTCGCCTGCCGGCGCTCTCGCACGCAGCCAGTCGTTCGGCGGCGCGGCGGCCGCTCGACCGGCGGGCGTCGAGCGCAGCAAGACGTCGGGCGGCGCGTCGGCGTCGTCGTCGCGCGCCTCGGCCGCCCGGGACCGCGAGGACGACGACCTGCGGCGCGCGATCGAGGCGAGCCTCAAGGACGTCGAGCCCGACTCGCTCCGGCGCGACGACGCGCCGCCTGCGCCCGTCGCCAAGTCGGGCTACAACCCGTCGTACGCCTCGCAGGTGCACGGCGCCGCTGCCGGCGGCGGCAAGGCGGCGGGCTCTGGCTCGGTCACGGCGGCGGCGGCGGCGGCGACCACCGGCGGCGAGGACGACGACCCGGACCTCGCGGCCGCCATCGCCGCGAGCCTGCGCGACCTGCAGCCGCCGGCGACGGCGCCCGCCTTTTCGCGCTCCGAGACGGCGAGCACCTTTGGCGGCGCCGGTGGCGGCAGTGCGCCGCTCACCTACGCGCAGATGTTCCCCTCGTCGTCGGCGCACGAGCCCTTCCCCGCGTCGCACGCGCACGCCGCCACCACCACCACCAAGCCCGCCGCCATGGCGCTCCCGTCGTACGACCTGACGCCCGCCGAGTCGGCCACGCTCGACTCGTTCGTCGCGCTGTACGCCCCCTCGCCGCACGGGTACGGGCACCCACCGCCGCCGCCGGGCCCGCGCGAGCGCGGCACGTACGACGAGGCGAGGGCGGCCCAGGTGCGGCTTGCGCGCGCAGAGGAGGACGCGAGGAGGAGGGGCGACATCTTGAGGGAGATGGAGTGGAAATTGAGCGAGGCGGCGAGGCTTTATGGGGCTGGTTTGACCGAGAGGGCCAGTGCGTGCCCCCCTTTTCCTCCTTCCTCTTCCCTCCCTCCTCAGACGCCCTTTCCCGCGCCCTACCTCTCTCTGGTCCCTCGTCCCTCGTCCCTTCCTCAGTCGAGCATCCCTGACCGCGCCCTTCCTCCCCCCCTCGCCCCTCGCTCGCAGGCTACCGCCCGACCTCGTCGACCCGCACCTCGTCCTACCTCGCGCACCACCCCGTCGCGCCCCAGCCGCTCGCCTCCCACGCCCACGCCCATGCTCACGCCTACGCCCCTCCGGAGCACGACTCGCGGCGGTACCAGTACGCGCCGCCGGCCGCTCTCACGGGCCAGCCCCTCCCGGCGTACGCCGTGCCGCAGGCTCAGCCTGCTGCGCACGCAGCCGAGATGCAGTCGCCGCCGCCTCAGCACGCTCAACAGCGGCAGTACGACCACCCGCAGCAGCAGCCGCACCCGCAGCAGCAGCCGCACCCGCAGCAGCAGCAGCACCCGCAGCAGCAGCAACAGGCGCAGCAGCAGCCCGTCCCGGCGGGCTTTTACAAGCCCTCGCAGTTCCCCTCGGTCCCGAGCGGGCCCTCGGCCGCGCTCTTCCCGAGCGTGCCGCACAGCGAGCCGTGGCGACTAGCGCCGGGCGAGGGCGAGGCGGAGCAGGGCGAGGAGGACGAGGACGAGCGGGAGGAGGCGAGGACGGGCGAGCTGATCGAGTTGTAGAGGATCGCGAGGGGCTGGAACGAGTCCGTGTCGTATCCCTTTGCGCGCGAGCGAGAGAGAGAGCGGCGTGCGAGCGAGAGAGTGAGAGCGGGCGAGACCAAGAGAGGGAGCGCGAGAGTGGCGGGTCCGGCTCGAGAAGCGCTTCTCTCTCACCGCGCGCTCGAGCCGCTCTCGACGGCGGAAGCTCCTCGACGGCGAATCCCTCTTGAGAGGACCAGCGATGATACGGCTGCATTGCGAGGCGGGGCATTACGCAAGAGGAGAGAGGGGTATCGGGCGCCGAGAGAGTGGCGGCGAGGCGAGGTCGAGGTCGAGGTTGAGGTCGAGGTCGAGGCCGAGGTGAGGCGAGGCGAGGCGAGGCAAATTGCGAGGTTGGACGGATGGCGATGGAGAGGAAGACGACGGAAAAAGCGAGGGGGAGCGGGTTGAGGGTGGGGAGGGAGATGAGGTCTCGGCAGGGCGCATAGGGAGGGTGCAGGGGGTGGGCGCGGATGCGGACGAGCGGCGGCATCGACCGGCTCAATCGGCGTCTGTCGAGTCGGCCATCTCGCAGTCGCTCGCGTCGCCGTCGAGGTCCGACTTGGTGATCTGCAGGAACGCCCGAGCGTGTCAGCTCGACGCTTGACGAGGAAAAGAGAGAACGGGCGGCGCACCTCGAGAACGGACCACGTCTTTGCGCCGTCTGCCTGGGTGCGGCGGTACAGCGCCGCGGGCGACGGCTCCTTGTCCTGCTTGAGCTTGAGGTTGAGGTCGAGCAAGACGCTCGGCTCTGGCGCAACCTCGAACGCGATGATCGGAAGGTCGTCGTCCTTTTCCTCCGGGAAAAACACGCCACCGCCGACGCTGTACCACACGATGAGGGGCGGCATCGACTTGAAGAGGCGGTCGAGCGAGACGGGCGACGGGACGAGCTCGGTGCCGTTCTCGACGTCCTCGTCGGGATCGGGATCGATGAACACCTGCTTGACGGCGGGGAGCGACGACGCCGCGTCGACAAAGTGGGCGAGCCTCGGCCCGAGAGCCTCGTCTGCCGAATCGGACGTGAGGACGACGCACTCGACCTTGTCGAAGGCGCCGATCCACGTGAGGTTGGCGGCCTCGAACTCCGACAGCTCGAGGTTGAGGTCGCGGACCTCGCCCGGGATGAAGAATGGCGCCAACATCTGACCCATGAGAGGGACTGGCGAGGTACCGCTGAACTGGTTGAGGCGCAGGGTGAGGTCCTTGACGGGCAGGCGGGTCACGACGGACGCGCTCTTGATCCCGCCGCTGCTCGGGGTCCACTTGGGCCACACTTCGAGCTGAATACCGAGCTTCTTGAGGCCGGGGAACTTCGACAGGACGCTGATGAGCGAGAGGAGGCCGTCCTCGCGGCTCACGGCGGTGATGATGAGCAGGTCACGCAGGCCTTCTGCCGCGGCGGAGATCGCGATCCGGCGCCAGAGAGCAGGCGCCTCGACAGGGACACTGCAGGCGAGGGTATCGAGGCGGGTCGAGCACTTCTCGACGAGCTCAACAAACTTGACCGCCGCCTGGCGGTGCGTGGGGAGGCGCCTTGCGATCAGGCGGTCGGGCGGCCCGAAGTAGAGCTTGCGGATCTCCTTGGCGAGCGACGGGTTCTTGAGGAGCCACTCGATGACCTCGTCGTCGTCCTCCCAGTGGAAGGTGACCCGGAAGTAGGCAATGCGGCGGCCGGCGACGCGCCAGGCCTTGCAGACGTAAAAGATGGCTTTGCCGAGCTCGCGCTGCTCGGACTCGGCCTCGAGGACGTCGTGCGGGTCGTGCGAGGCGTCGCTCACGTTGTCGTCAATGTCCTCGAGGTGCTCGAGAATGATGTTGATGAGCTCCTGCGGGAGGCGCGGCGAAGGCAAGAGCGGGTTGGGCGGCAACCGAACCATGACGCGACGCTGCGGGCGACGGGGTCAAGTCAGCTCACGTTGTGCCGCAGACAGTTCCCCCGTGCGCTCAAGAGGGAGAGGGGACTCACCAGAGCTTGTTGCTCCAACTCGGGGCGATGAAGACGGCGAGGGCCCGACAGGTCGTAGAAGCTTGGGTTCTTCCAGATGAGCATGATGACGACGTCCACAGGTACCGGTGAAGTAGGCTCAGCTCAGCAGGGAGCGAGGGTGGTGAGCTGCGAGGAGGAGAGGGAGGACGACGAGGACGACGAGGTTGCTTCGCTCTCGCCAGCTCGCTCTCGCTCCGCTGCGCAAACGGTCACTGGCTGGACCTGCCTGTACGATCCCTCAAGGCCTGTTACGCCACTTGCACGCCCCTGGGCTGCGCCGTCGTGACTTTGTTCGCCCTCATCGTCCTCGCTCCACCTCGACTCGTCGCGCCCGGCTACAGCGCTACGACCGCCTCGAGTGCGACAGGCTGCCCTGCAGACGTCTCACACGGCTTTCGAGTGCGCCGCTGCCAGCTTCTGGGCGGTCCTTGCTCCAGCAACAGCCCGCCGCTCTGCTGCGCCTCCTGGCTCCCTCTCCTCGCACGGCTCGACCGCTCCGAACCGGGGCAGCAAACTGCCGAGCCTGTCTCAAGCTTGGTCAGAGGCCCAACGCCTCTGCGCTTGCGGCCTCACGCTCGTGCCTCCCTTCCTCCTGCCCGCCGCTAGCCCTCGACCTCCCTCCTCGTCCTCGAGCGACCTCGTCTTCCGTACGGCCCGCTCGTGCCGCACAGCACGCGTCGCACTCTCAGTACGGCCCATTCGTCTCACAGGCGGTATCACGCAAGCTGTGCTTGACACAGCCGGCCCAAAGAGCTCGAGGGTGAGGACGGCGCTCAAGGAGGAGGGTCCTCGAGGCGGGCAAGCAGCTCGAGTTGTAGCTCAGAGCCTTTGCCACGCGAGCGTGTCTCTCTTCTCGAGCTGTTGGCAGCCATGCAGAGGTGACGTGCGCGACGAGGGCGGCTGAGGCCTGAGCGCTCGAACCGGACCGCCTCGCTCCAGCCGTCGCTCGCCGCATCGTCGAGAGAGGCGCCAAGTAGCAAAAAGCGCCTTGCTCGCGCAGCTCAGTGATGGATACGCGCGAGCTGCACAAGCGCTGAGCAGTCGGTGGAGCAGGGCAAGGCGCTCGCTCGAGGGGGGTCCGAGCGACGTGCCTCGAGCTGGGGAGCCCGCACGAGGTCGCGAGCCCGCGCATAGCGAGCTTGCGGGGCCTCGTACCAGCTGAGAGCGAGAGCGAGGTCGGCGAGGCGCCGCTCGAGCAAAGAGCGAGGCGCGCGCAGCCGCAGGAGGGCGAGCTGGTCGACGACCTCGACGTGACGCTGCGCCCAAGGCCCAGTGCGCCGCTCGGAAGAGCCAGCTTCCGGGCGAAGCCGCAGAATCGGTCTGCGGCGCTGCTGGCGATCTGAGCGTTGGTGGCGCAGCACGAGTGCGGTCGTTCGAGGTGGAGAATGGCGGACAAGGTCAAGGTCGACAGGAAGGGGGCGGCTGCAACGGCGACGAGCTTGAGCGCCGAGACGTTGACCTCGTTGTCGAGCATCTGCGCACGATGCAAAGGTGGATGAGCGCCTGCTCCCGACGAACGAGGGCGCCCAGGGGACGAAGCCCAGGACGCGCTCGACGAGTCTGAGAGCGCGAGGACGCACCTGGTCCGACGAACAGGAGGCCGATCACCGAGCGCGTCGGCGGTACAGGCCGCACAGGTGCACGTCGAGGATCGGCGGGCGTCGGCGAGGTCGGTGGACGAGGTCGAGCGACGATGCGGCGAGCGCGAGAACGGCGACCTCGAGCGTCGAGGCCCGAGTGAGCTCTCAGAGACCCTGCGCACGACGATAGAGGTGAGCGTCCTGTCGGGGACCCAGCCAAGCACGAGCGGGGCCGAGGGACGCTCCCCTCGACTCGCTCGACCAGGCGCTGCGGGACGAGGACGCACCCGACACGTACGTAGCAGCTGTTCGAGCCCGATGAGATGAGCGGGTCGTCCGGGACCGACTCGACGAGGCGCAGGTCGGCGAGGCGCAGGTCGACGAGCGAGGTCGGCGGTCGAGTCGGCGGTCGAACGAGGATGCACAGGTCGAGAAGAGGACGGCGACCGACACGGCGACGAGCTTGAGCGCCATAGGCTGCGCCTCGTCGATGAGGGTCTGCGCACGAGGAAAAGGTGGATGAGCGCCTGCCCAAGCGCTCGAAGGACGAGGGCGCCCAGGGGACGAAGCCCCTCGGCGCGCTCGACGAGAGTGAGAGAGCGAGGACGCACCTGGTCCCACGAAGACGAAGCCGAACATCGTGCGCATTGGCGGCAGAGGCCGTACAGGTGCACGTCGAGGGCCGTCGGGCGTGGGCGAGCGTCGGCGCGGTCGGTGGACGAGGTCGAGCGACGCCATGGCGAGCGCGAGGATGGCGAGCTTGAGCGCCGAGGCCCGAGTGAGCTCGAAAGGACCCTGTGCACGACAATAGAGGTGAGCGTCCTGTCGAGAGCCCGGCCAAGCACGAGCGGGGCCGAGGGACGCTCCCCTCGACTCGCTCGATGAGGCGCTGCGGGACGAGGACGCACCTGACGCGCAGGACACAGCTGCTCGAGCCCGACGAGCGCATCGTCCGGAACCGACTGGGCGAGGAACAGGTCGGCGAGGCGCAGGTCGATGGGCGGGGTCGACGAGGCGAGTCGGCGGTCGAACGAGGATGCACGGGTCGAGAAGAGGACGGCGGCCGACACGGCGACGAGCTTTGAGCGCCGGGACATTAATATTGTTGACGAGCGTCTGCGGGCGAGGAAGAGATGGATGCGCGACTGCTCTCAAACCACCGCAGAAACGAGGGTGCCCAGGGGACGAAGCCCCTCGGCGCGCTCGACGTGATGGAGAGAGCGACGACGCACCTGGTTCTACGGGAACGAGGCCGACCGTCGAGCGCGTTGGCGGCAGAGGCCGAACCGGTGCACGTCGAGGGTCGGCGGGCGTCGGCGAGGTCGGCGAGCGCCGGTGGTCGAGGTCGAGCGACGCCACGACGAGCGCGAGAACGGAGACGTGGAGCGCCGAGGTCTAAGCGAACTCGCATGGGCCCTGCGCACGAGGGAGGGAGAGGTGAGCGTCCTGCCAACGCAAGAACAGTATCTACGAGCGAGGTCGAGGGACGCTCCCCTCGACTCGCTCGACGAGGCGCTGCGGGACAAGGACGCACCTGACGCGCACGATGCAGCTGCTCGAGCTCGGCGAGACGAGCGGGTCGTCCGTGACCGACTCGGCGAGGTGAAGGTCGGCGAGGCACAGGTCGGAGAGGCGCAGGTCGACGAGGCGCAAGTCGACGGGCGAGGTCGGCGGTCGAGTCGGCGGTCGGACGAGGATGCACGGTTCGAGAAGAGGACGGCGACCGACACGGCGACGAGCTTGAGCGCCGAGACGTTGACCTCGTTGACGAGCATCTGCGCACGAGGGAAAGGTGGATGAGCGCCTGCCCAAGCGCTCGAAGGACGAGGGCGCCCAGGGAATGAAGCCCCTCGGCGCGCTCGACGTGACGAAGAGAGCGACGACGCACCTGCTCCCACGGGAACGAGGCCGAACATCGAGCGCGTCGGCGGTACAGGTGCACGTCGAGGGTCGTCGGGCGTCGGCGAGCGTTGGCGAGCGTCGTTGGACGAGGTCGAGCGACGATGCGGCGAGCGCGAGAACAGCGAGCTTGAGCGCCGAGGCCCTAGTGAGCTCGAGAGGGCCCTGCGCACGACGAAAGAAGAGGTGAGCGTCCTATCCGGGGCCAAGTGCCCGGCAGCGAGGCCGAGGGCCGTTCCCCTCGACTCTCGCAGAGGCGCTGCGGGACGAGGACGCACCTGACGCGCACGATGCAGCTGCTCGAGCCCCACGAGACGAGCGCGTCGTCCTTGATCGACTCGGCGAGGTGCAGGTCGACGAGGCGCAGGTCGACGGGCGAGGTCGACGAGCCGAGTCGGCGGTCGAATGTGGATGCACGGGTCGAGAAGAGGACGGCGACCGACACGGCGACGAGCATTGAGCGCCGAGACGTTGACCTCGTTGACGAGCATCTGCGCACGATGGAAAGTTGGATGAGCGCTCGCGCTCCCTACGAGGGCGTCCAGGGGACGAAGCCCCTTGGCGCACTCGACGAGAGTGAGACGGCGAGGACGCACCTGGTTCCACGGGAATGAGGCCGAACATCGAGCGCGTTGGCGGTACAGGCCGTACAGGTGCGCGTCGAGGGTCGTCGGGGCGTCGGCGAGGTCGGCGGGTCGAGGTCCGAGCCAAGGTCACGGGTCGAGACGACTGCGACGGCGCCGAACTCGACCGGTCGAGGCGAGTGCAGCATGATCTGTGCAGCTGTAGACGAGGGTGCGAAGGTGTGAGCGTCTGCCCGCGCAGCACTTCGACAAAGCGAACGAGACGGAGGAAACGAGCGCCTCGTTCTCGCTCGCGGGTCGTCGAGCGGCGAGGACGCACCATGTTGCGCCGCCAGAGATCGTCCTTGACGGTGTCGGGACGTGTCGGGGTGTCTGCTGCTCGACGAGCCGATGGCGAACACGAGGGCGGAGGAGGAAGAGTCGGCAGGTGAGGTCGGGCGAGGCGGTTGGGGCCGCCCACAGGTGCGGCGACGACGCCTCGATAGCGTTGAACCTGCTGTGTGCAGAGTTCGGGTCAGAGCGCTTCGGGAGATCCGATTCCACCAGACTGAGCAAAGGAGGACGGCTCCTTCGCCCGGTCGTGGAACCGAACTCGCGCCGACGCACCTGACGACTTGTGCTTGCGACTGCGGAAGAGCTTGACGTGCGCCTTGTCGAGGTGCCCGAGTCGCGCGGTCCGGAGGTGGTAGGGGCGCGGTCGAGGGCGAGTGGGCGAGGCGGAGGTGGGGACGAGCGAGAGGGGCGAGGTCGGCGACTCGATGCGGTTGGCGCACTGGGGCTGGTCGAGGTGGGAGATGGTGCTGGATATCGGTGCGAGTGTGCTCAAGGGCGCAGGGGACGTGGTGGGTCGAGGGGGAGGTGGGTGGTTGGTGGCCCGCGATGAGGACGAGGGCCAGTCGGGGTGAGGTCGGGGCTGTCGCTGGGTCTCGGGGCTGGTGCTGCCGGTGCTTGTGGGTGATGTAGCAGGCTGCTCGGGGTAGCACGTGTTGCACTCGAGGAGAGGGTGGAGCTCAAGCCTTTGTCGACGTCCCTTTGTGTGTGCATCGCCTCGTCGCTCTCATCTTCGCGCCTCTCTCGCTCTCACTCCCCTCGAGCTACGCGCTGCAGCCATGGCCTCGATCTACGACTCTGGTGAGCCCCCACCGTCCACCTCCCACAGTCCCACGAGCCACACTCACCTCGCTCTCCTCGACCCTCCCACAGTCCTCACCGCACCGTGGATCTCGACTCCCTCGGATGGCGTCCCCTCGTCTGACACGCTTCGCCTCCAACACGAAGCCGAGCAGTCCATCTCGCACCTCCTCACCGACCACCTCGCCGCGACCGCCCCGCCCGCGATCCACCGCGACTCGCACTCGCGCTACCTCACAAAGCTCCTCACCTCGCCCTTGCCCAAGCACTTCGTCGGCCTCGACGCCTCGCGACCCTGGATCCTGTACTGGTCCATCCACTCGCTCGCCCTCCTCGACGGCGAGCTCGACCCGGACGCTCAGCGCCGCGTCGTCGACACGCTCAACCGGTGCCAGAACCCCGACGGCGGGTTCGGCGGCGGGCCCGGACAGCTGAGCCACTTGGCGCCGACCTATGCGGCCGTGTGTGCGCTCGCCTACACGGGAGAGCAAGGGTGGAACTCGATCGACCGGTGCGCACCTCTCTCTCTCTCTCCTTTCCTCCTTCCCAAACTCGTCCCTGACACTGTCGACGCCCGCAGACGCGGCATGTACCGCTTCCTCATGTCGATCAAGCAGGCAGACGGCTCGTTCGTCATGCACGACGGCGGCGAGGTCGACGTCCGGTGCGTCCCCTCTCACGCCCTCCCGCTCTCTCTCTCTCCCCGCCCCTCGCGCTCACGCCCCTCTCGCCCGCCCGCCCGCCCGCCCGCAGCGGCTGCTACTGCGCCCTAACGGTCGCCACCCTCCTCAACATCCTCACGCCCGACCTCGCGCACAACACGGCCAACTTTATCGCGTCGTGCCAGACGTACGAGGGCGGCCTCGCGTCGTCGGCACACCCGTTCGCGCACGGCGACGCGCACGCCGCCGCGCCGCTCGGTGAGGCGCACGGCGGGTACGCCTTTTGCGCTGCCGCGTCGTGGGCTATGCTGCGCGCCCTGTCGGACCCTCTCTCGCCCGCGTTCGTCCCGCCACTCTCGGCCTCGTCGCCCCGGCGGCCGCAGCGAGAGCTTGACGTGCGCGCGCTCCTGCGGTGGAGCGCGAGCCTGCAGGCCATGCCGATCGAGGGCGGCGGGTTCCGCGGCAGGACCAACAAGCTCGTCGACGGGTGCTACTCGTGGTGGGGCGGCGGCCTGTTGCCCATCGTCGAGAGCCTCTTGTCCGAGGGCGAGGGCGAGGGCGACGACGACGACGGTGTCGAGGAGCGCGAGCTGTACGACCGCAGTGCGTCCCCTCTCTCTCCCTCCCTCAGGAGCGCGCACTGACCCTCCCACTGTCTCACTGCGCACAGCCGCCCTGCAGCAGTACATCACGCTCGTCGCCCAAGCGCCCTCGGGCGGCCTGCGCGACAAGCCGGGCAAGCCCGCCGACGCGTACCACACGTGCTACAACCTGTCGGGCGCCGCCTCGGCGCAGCACGCGCCGCGCGTATCGCCCAGGGCGAGGCGCGCCCTCTGCGACGCCTGGACGTCGCCGTTCGCTGCTGCGGCCCTCGTCGAGGTTGGTGGAGAGGGAGGCGAGGAGGAGGAGGACCGGCTCGAGATCGTGCGCGGTGAGGGAGAGGGCGACGAGGAGGCTGAGCGGCGCATGCGCGAGGTGTGGAGCCGGGCTCTCGCGTGGGAGGTGCCGCCCAGCAACAAGGTCGTGTACGGTGACCCGACCAACGAGCTCGTGCGTCGGCTTGTTCCTTCCTATCTCTCGGTTCACGCTCTCGACGACGACGAGCCTGTACTGATGAGGACAGCTGGTCGGCCTCGCAGGTCCCGGCGCACCCGGTGTTCAACATCACGTTCCCACACGTCCAGGGCATGATGGCCCACTTCTACCGCCAGCCTCCTCTCCTGTAGCTCTACGAGCCCCTGTATCGACGACCGTTCTCTCTCTCTCTCTCTCTCTCTGTGCCGCACGTCGACTCTCGAGAGGAAGAGGAAAGACGACAGCGATACAGCGCTCGAACGCTCTAAAAGACGAACCCTCGCCCATGCGTCAATCGTCCCCGAGCAAGTCCCTCCTCCTGCTCCGCTCGTCCTCGCGCTCAAACGCCCCCTCGAGCTCCCTCCTCTCGCGCTCGACCCGCTCGTCACCGGCGACCAGGCCCTCGAGGCCCTCGATCCGGTCCCCGTCGTGCTGCCGCGCCTTGTCCCGCTCGCTCAGGCGCGTCAGGCTGTGCGCCTCGGCCGCCGACGCGTCAAACTCGTCGAGGAGGCTCGCGGCTTGCGCGTCGAGGTCCGCAAAGGACGACGTCGAGTCGCCGCTCGCGGCGCGTCGCCGTCCCTCGCGCGACGAGCGCTCGTCGTTGTCCGAGCCCGAGCCCGAGCCGAGTTCGTGGTGCGGCGCCGCCTTGGCTCCACCGCCGCCGCCGAGCGATCCATGCCGCGCGTGCGCGTGCGCGTGCGAGACAGGCAGCATGGGCGCGCCCTCGTCGCCGGCCTCGCCCGCCGAGCGGTACGCCTCGTCGCCCGTCTCGCGCCCGTCCGAGTCGGGCGCGCCGTCGTGCTGGCGGGCAGCGAGCGCCGCAGCGTGCGTCGCGTGCGTAAACTGGCGGTACTTGAGGTAGTTGTACAGGGCGATACCTGGTGGGCAGACGAGAGCTCGAGTCAGTCTCGCGAGGTCGACGAGGGGGAGGGAGAGAGAGAGAGGGCGCACCAAAGATGGTGACGCACAGGCCCGAGATGTTGATGGGCGTGAGCTGGTCGTGGAAGAGGACGGTCGAGAGAAAGATAGTGATGACCTCCTTGAAGATGCCCGCGACCGAGAGCGTGACGACCGACGTGCGCTGGATGAGTCTGTGCGGCGCGAGCATGTCAGTACGCTCCAGGGCGCGAGGGAGAGACAGAGAGGACGTACCCAAACTCGGTGATGTTCATCATGAAGGCGAGCACGCCCGGGAACACGATGGCGCACACGGTCTGCATCGTCGCGCCGAGCGAGCCCCAGAACTCGTCGTGCGAGAACACGTTGCCCCACCCGTCAAACACGAGGCTGCACGTCGCGAGCGTGACGCCCATGATGGGCGCGAGCCAGAACAGGGTCGCGATCGGGTTGTTCATGCCCATCGACTCCTTGTGGAGCAGGAGCTGGGTGAGCGACCACCGCAGGCCGCCGAGCGCCGACGCCGTGAGGACCTGCATCATGCCGACGGCGTCGAACTGCGTCTCGGTCGACACCATGAGGACGACGCCCGACGTGATGATGAGGATAATGCCGACAAGCCGCCACGACGGGACCTCGAGGCGGAACAGGAAGGCGAAGATGAGGACGAAGGCGAGCGACGACGACTTGCACATGGCTGCGAGGGGTCCAAGGTCAGGTGACGAGGTTCCCTCGACGAGGGACGGGGACGAAAGACGCACTGTAGAACGAGAGCGTGATGGTGCGCAGGCTGAGGTTCGACAGGCCGATGTCGAGGCCGGTCGCCATGCCGCACGGCGCCACCTTGGTCCTGCAGGCCGGCTCCGAGTGTCAATCCCAGTCCCCTTTATGCCCCTTGGCGAGAGAGAGAGAGAGCGGACGCACGCGTAGTCTCGCGGCTGGGGCTTGGTCTGAGGGCGCAGGTTGCGAAAGATGCTGAGGGTGAGGGCTGACAGGCACCACTGGACGAGCATGTGAACCGAGGTGACGAAGAGAGGGTAGGGGAAGTTGTAGTGGTCGGCGGAGAACATCCACTTGTCTGTCGCGGCGAGGGAGAAGAGGGTCAACGTCGCGCTTCGGCGCGAGGTGGGGGGAGAGGGTGCGGCGAGTCGAGGGGATCGGTGCGCACTGTACAGCGAGATAAGGGTCGAGAAACAGTACCTGTGGGACAGTGTCGCAGCTGTCAGTGCTGCTCGAATCGGGCCGAGAGAGGAAGAGAGACGGACCAAGCCAGGATGAAGAGGACGTTGATGGCGGCGCTCCTCCACCACAGGATGCGCAGCCGCCGCTCGTCGGGCGTCTCCTCTACCTGCGCGTACGGGACCCTGCTCGCCCGCCTGCGCCCCGCCTCGGCGTGCGCGTAGCTGTGCCGCCTCGTCCCGCCCGGAGTGCCGCCGTCGTCGTCGCCCGCCTCCCTCGCCCATGCCCCAGACGCTCGAGCGTATCCATCGAGGCCCTCGACATCGTCGTCGTCGTCCTCGTACATGCGCGCCTTGCCCTTGTTGGTCGGGTAGGACGCGAGCTCGTAGTCGGAGCGTGTCGAGGTCGCGGCGCGCTCGTGGTCGGCGAGGAGGAGCGTAGACGGGTAGGCGAGCCCGCGCGACTCGTGAGCATCGTCGCTGACGAGCTGGTGAGCTCGCTGCGTGTCCATGGCGCGACGTGACCGAGAGCGAGAGGCGAGGCAAGCGGCGCGCCTCCTCGGACTTGGCGACGCGCGGGCGGCCCTTTCCTGCACCTCTCTTTCTTTTGAGTTCTCTGTCGCTTGCTCGTGCTCTCGCGAGAGCTATCGAAGCTCGGGCCGAGCCTCTCGCACCAGATCGCACGCGAAACGGGCCGGCTCGAGGAAACGCACGTGCGGGTTGCAGCCGGCGAAGGTCGCGAGAGGCGCAGAGGGCACAGACAGGAGGAGGAAGGCGCACAAAGGGCAAGGGGAGCTAAGGGAACAGGCGCAGAGAGAGAAAGGCGAAAGGGCGGAGACTGGGAGAGATAAGCGAGAGAGAGACAGAGAGGGAGGGTGAGGGGAGGGGGAGGAAGAGGTGGCTCAGTCGCTCTCGTCGAGCTCAAAGTCCTCCTCCTCGTCGTCGTCGACCATGAACGAGTCGTCCTCGACGTCGGACGGGAGCTCGAGCTTGTACGACTTGGCCGGAGCGCGGGCGGTGCGGGCGGCGCGGGCCTTGGGCGCCGGCGCCACGTCGCTCACCTCGTCGTCCGACTCGACGACGGCCTTCTTGGGAGCCTGTAGACGCCGTCGACTGTCAGTCTGGCGACGCATGGCGAGAGAGAGACAGGACAGGGACGCACAGGCTTGGCCTTCGCCGGAGCAGCCTTCTTCTTGGGCGCCGGGATCGGCTCGTCGTCCGAGTCGTCAAGCGCGACGACCTGCTTCTTGGCCTGCGGGACAAGGCGCACCAGTCAGTCACGTCGCTCGGGGCCTCAGAGCGAGAGAGAAGGGACGCACCGTCGTCTTCTTGGCCTTGGGTGAGTGCGCGGTGGGCTTCTTGACGGGGAGCGAGTAGATGTCGTCGTCGTCCTCGTCGACGTCGAGCGCGGGCGTCGCCTTCTTCTGCAGGTTCAGGATGTCAGGAGACAGATACCCCTTCCGCGAGAGCGAGCCGGGGCGCACCTTGACGGCGGGATTGCGAGCCGCGCCGGTCGCCGCCTTCTTGGCCGGCGGCGAGCTCGCGTCGTCGTCCGACAGGTCGAGGTCGACGCTCGCACGCTTGGCGGGCGCCTTCTTGGCCTTGGTCGCCGCAGGCTTGGGGACGGCCTTGGCCTGCGTGTCGAGGGAGGGAGGGAGAGGTCAGTGTCCTGCACGACGAGGCGGCCGGGGAGGGCGAGGAGCGGGACGCACCTTGGACGCAGCAGCCGGGGCAGCCATCATCTCGTCCTCGTCGTCGGTCTCGGGCAGGGCGACAGCGGCTTTGGCGCGCTTCGCGGGCGGCTTCTTGGCGGGGACCTCGACCTCGTCGTCCGTGTCGGGGAGCGTGACGGGCGCTTTGGCCTTCTTGGCGGCGACGGGCGCCTTCTTCTTGGGCTTGACCTCGAACTCGTCGTCGTCGTCGTCCGAGGCGGCCGCACGCTGTGGGTGAGGTGAAAGTCAGGCATGCGCTCTGGACCGCGAGGCACGGAAAGAGGGCAGGCCGACGAGTCGGACGCACCTTCTTGCCCTTGCCCGGGTTCTTCGACTTCGACTTCGAGCGCGCCTTGTTGACGAGGTCGTTGGCGAGGAGGTCCTGTGAGGGAGGCAGAGCGAGTCAGTGACCGGTACTGCCGACCCGGGGCGACGAGGAGAGAGAGAGAGACAGCGCCGACGGACCTCCCACTTGTCCATGAAGGCGTCGAGGTCGGCGCGCCACAGGTCCTGGACGGTGCGCTGCAGGAGCGCCTCGAGCTCGGCCTGGCGCGCGTCGCGCTCCTCGAGCAGCTTGGCGACCTTCTCGGCCGTGAGGCTGTAGATGGCCATGCTCATGAGGTATTCGTAGTCCGAGTCGGCGCCCGGCTGCGCGTCGGCGTCCTCCTCGTCGCCGAGCTGCTCGGCCTCATCGACGTCGCCCGCGACGTGCGCCTTGGCGACCTTGGGGAACGGGCGGAAGTTGCGCTTGCGCAGCTCGGCGACGACGTCGGCGCGCTTGCGGTTCGACACGACGAGCTCGCGCGAGATGATGAGCTGGATGAAGCGCGCCTGGTTGCTGAGGCGCTCGTGGACGAGCTCGAGCTCGCCAACAAGGTGCTTCTTGCGCTTGTGGTAGTAGTCGAGGCGCACGTCGTAAAAGTCGCTGACGATGTCCTCGGCCGACGCGTACTTCTTGATCTTGCCCTGCGGGTCGAAGCATACCATGTTGGACGTGTTGACCTTGGACACGATCTTGAACACCTTCTCGAGGCCGTCGGCGTCGACCGCCTTCTTGCCCTCGGCCGTGAGCGTCACGATGAAGTGGACGTTGCGCTCGGTGTGGTACTCCTTGTAGTCCTGCAGAGCGTGACGAGGGCGGTCGTCAGGTCGTGCTCGAGCGTGCGAGAGAGAGAGAGAGAGAGAAAGGGAGAGAGAGGCTCACCTTGACCCACGCCGCCTGCTTGTCGGTGCCGGCGACCCAGCCCTCGAGCATCTCCTTGTAGCTCTGGGTCCACGTGCGGATCGGGAGCTCGGTGATCTCGACCGTGTTGTCGTCGGTGCGCTCGATGATGCCGCTGCACTTGTAGCCCTCCTTGTCGCCCTTCTCGATCGTGCCCTGCGCGGTCGCGGTCGGGCCTCGTCAGACGCTGCGACGTCGCGCGAGAGGAAGAGAGAGAGAGGCGGGACGCACGGTGAAGCCGCGGTACCACGGGTGCATGGGCTCCATCTCGTCGCCGTCGAGCTTGCGGCGCAGGTTGGCGACGATGTCGGCCGGGTTGAAGTTGGGGATGTACGAGCTCCAGCCGGTACCGATGCCGTCCGAGCCATTGACGAGGACCATCGGGAGGACAGGGATGTACCTGCGAGGGACGGCGAGCAAGCGCGAGGGTCAGGAAGGTCCGAGGAAGGAGAAAGGGAGAGAGCGGGACGCACCAGCTCGGCTCGATGCTCTGGCCGTCGTCGTGGAGGTAGTCGAGGATTGCGTCGTCGGCCGGGTGGAAGATGGTGCGCGTGACCTGGGCGACGTTGGTAAAGATGTACCTCGCGCTCGCCGCGTCCTTGCCGCCCTGGAGCCGCGTGCCGAACTGGCCGTTCGGGTCGAGCATGTTGAGGTTGTTGCTCCCGACAAAGTCCTGCGCGAGGCCGATGATGGTGCCCTGCAGCGACACGTCGCCGTGGTGGTACGCCGAGTGCTCCGACACGTAGCCCGACAGCTGGCCGACCTGCAAGCCAAGACGATCGACGCGGTCAGTGCTGGCCGCTCAAGGCGAGCGAGACGACGAGCGAGACGAGGACGCACCTTGATCTCGTTCTTGAGCTTGCGCTTGAAGCACGCGAACAGGACCTTGCGCTGGCCGGGCTTGAAGCCGTCGACGACCGAGGGGATCGAGCGCACGTTGTCGGCCATCGAGAAGAGGATGAGCTCCTTGTTGATAAAGTCGCTGATCGGCACCTCGTCGACGTTGTGGTCCATGTACGTGCCGGGCTGCGCGAGGCGACGGGCGAGAGAGAGAGAGAGGGGGGGGGGGGGGGGGGGGGGGGGGCGGGGCCAGGGGGGAAAAAG